CGGCTGGGAAACAAGTGACACAGGCGGCTGGGGAGCCGCAACCGGCGGTGACACAGGAGGCTGGGAAGCCGTAACCGGCTGCAATGCTGGCGGATGGGGCGCAACATCTGGCGGAGAAACGAGCGGCTGGGGAGCTTTCCGCGAGGATCAAAGGGGGGAAGAGGAAGAAGAAACTGCGCAAGTTGAGGTCGAACCTGCTGTTGTTCCTCTTGGACGCCCTCCGCGCCGCCCTGCATTTGCACCACCGTCACCAGACATCCCTTCAGGAAGTGACCCCTGGGACACCATTGACTGGGGTAACGAGTCATCTACCCCGCGTCGCACCGTCTACGGACCTGCCCCTGAACCGCGCGAACCGACATTTATCCCTGGCACGATCCCCGGAACAAACATCCCCTACTCCATCATTCGCGACAGGGAATTTCTCGCCCTAATGTTAACAACGGCGAACGAAGAAGAAGAGCACGAGGAAGCAGCAGCGACACCTGCCCAAGCACCTAATGAAGACCCCGCAGAGGCACTCGCGTGCTACATGCGCGCCTCCGGATTTCGCGCCGACGATGCCATCTGGCACCAGCGCCTAGGTCACCCTTCGCGCGTGACCCTGAAGAACTGTATCGAGGCCGGCGTCTTCGCACCTGGCGCACTGCTTCGCCCTGGCGGCTCCGAAGTAAGAGGCGGAACTTACTCGCGCACCTGCACTATCTGCCCCGAAGCTGCGCTGAGTCACCAGCCCTTTCCTCTGCTCGAGCCAGGAACCAATCGCTACGCCAAGTTGGAGAAAGTTTACAGTCATTTCCTCAACGTCGGACATTGCGGCATCAACGACGAGCTCTACACACTCACCTTCGTCGACGCTGGAACGCGCCACGTGTGGATCGTAAATGTGGAAGCGCGCAGCAGAGCATACGAAGCATTCCGCCTGTGGCTGGCGCACGCGCAACGGCAATCTGGGGAGAAACTGAAGATCTGGCAGTCCGACGGCGCGGCAGAGTTTAGGAGCAAGGAGCTGCAAGATTACCTTGCGCAAAAGGGGATCGAGCACCACATCTCTCTCCCCTATGCGCACCAGCAGCAGGGCGTAGCAGAACGCACGAATCACACCCTCATGACGAAGGTGCGGGCGCTAATGAGGGAGTCGAAGCTTCCGCCGATCTACTGGACCTACGCAATGCACCACGCCGTGCGGGTGCACAACCTGCTGTCAACCACCGCGATCACCGGCAACTCCTCGCCGCATGTGAAGTGGACGGGAAGGAAGGGCGACACCTCCATGCTCCGCGTCTGGGGGTGCATGGTTCAATACCGCCCACCAACATCAACCATTGGGAAATTCAAGAGCCGCGCGCGCTGGGGGATCCACCTCGGCATCAGCCACGAACACAAAGCGTGGATCATCCTGGATCTCTTGAGCCAGAAAATCAAGAATGCGCGCGACGTCATCTTCTACGAGCGGCTCTTCCTCCGGCAATTTCGCGAAGATGAGCAGACAAACACAAACCGCGTCTACGCCAATGACGGCCACAGCTACGCCTCACCTGAGGACGAAGCCGCAGCAGCAATTCTGGAGTAGGACCCCAGAGGCGAGTTCACACGAGGCGATCGTCACGACGACGACGACGTCGACAACGATGATTCAGGAGAAGGAGGATCGGACACAGCAAGAGGGGCAGCAGGAGGAAGCGGAAGTGGCGGAGGCGCAACACCACCAGCGCCACCTGAACCAGAAAGCGATGATGACGACGTACAGGAAGTCGTCACACAACATCGCCACGATAGCAACGTAACTGGCCTTCAGCTCTTAGGACTTCACGCTGCCATCTCCACGGCACCGCGCATCATCAAGCCTAACAACCCACGGCAAGCACTCACGGGACCTCACAGCAAGGAATGGCGCGAGGCAATGGATGCGGAGATCAGGGCACTTGAGTCACGCGATACCTGGGTGCTCGTCGACCGTGCAGCAGTAAAGGGGAGAAGAATCCTCTCCGGCAAGTGGGTCTTCCGTGTGAAGACAGGAGCTGACGGGACGATCGAGCGATTCAAGGCACGCTGGGTGGTGCGAGGCTACGATCAGAGGCATGGGATCGACTTCGACCAGACGTTCGCACCGGTTAGCCGTCACACGTCCGTTAGAATTCTCCTCGCCATCGCAGCTGCACGACACCTGCCGCTCCGACAAATTGATGTGAAGAACGCGTTCCTATACGCGTTAGTAGATGCAGTAATCTACGTAGAGCAGCCACACACATACGGCGACGGGGACCCACGTGTCTGTCAGCTACGCAAGTCCCTTTATGGGATTAAACAGGCACCGAGACTCTGGCAGCAGTACCTGCACAACATACTGCTTGAAATCGGGTTCAAGCAGCTGCCTCACGACCCTAGGATGTATCGCCGCGATTTTTGCGGCGAATACATCCTACTCACGGTGTACGTCGACGACCTCCTCTACACAGGGTCAAGCAACGAATTGCTTGAGCAATTTGAGAAGAGCCTCGCAGGGCGCATCGACATCACCTGCAATCATGACGTGAGGCAGTTCCTCGGGCTCAATATCACCTACTCGCCGGAAGCCATTCATCTCTCAGCAGGGAAGTATGCAGAGGAGCTTAGCAAGCGCTTCAACATTGCGCCTGCACCACTCTCCACCCCTTACCGCACTCCAGGACCCAACCACAAGCCTGACAACAAAGCCCTGTCCCCTGCTGGGCTTCACACCTACCAGCAGCAGTTGGGATGCCTGCTCTTTGCATCTGTCAGCTGCAGGCCCGACCTCTTATACATCGCGAGCCAGTTGGCTCAGTAGTCACGCAAACCAACGGCTGAGAATCTCTCAGATCTTCAGCGAGCCCTTCAATTTTTCATCTCTACGCCCAATGTTGGGCTCTGCTACTCCACCATCCCAACCGCATCTTTCAGTCTCATCGGCTACGTGGACGCTGATCACGCCGCTGATCCTGACAATCGACGGTCCAGGACAGGATTCCTCTTCCGCCTCGAGCCCAGCGGCCCCATCTCCTGGAATTCTCAGAAGCAGGAGTTGGTTGCCCTGTCATCGGCGGAAGCATAATTTATCGCAGCAACAGCAGCTGTTCGCGAAGGTCTCTACCTTCAGGAGTTGCTGCAAGAGGCGAAAATACCGGCCTCAGCGAATTTTCGCCTGCACTGCGACAACCAAAGCGCGATCTGGATCGCGAACAAACCTGGCTTCGTCAAACGCGCCAAGCACATCGCACTACGGTACTTCTTCGTCAAGGACGAAGTTGACAAAGGCAAGGTTGACCTGACTTACCGTCATACCCCGGATAGAAGCGCCCCTGGGGTTGTAATAAAACACTGTTTTTTAGGGGGTGCGCTTATAATTGAGGAAATTTATAAGCGCCGGCGTTTATATAACGGCAAAATGAAATTAAGTTTTTTTTTTACACCGAACAGTAGATCTCGTTCTGCCAATTGTAATCGAGTCGAAAATATATGGGGTCGCGAATTTGACTCTCGAGCAACTTGGCAGGGATTGATTCCCTGCCAACACATGCTGACTAAGCGACAGCGCGTGCTGACTAGACGCGCAGCAAGTGTGATGTGAGTGGGGAAAGTGGAACTGTACTTCGCTTCCCTGGTAAGGTGAAATTCGTTTCTGTGTTTTGACTAATTTTCAGATAATATTCGACATGCGCTTATAATAAATCATAAATTTTTAGGGGGTGCGCTTATAATCGAGGACCGGATATAAGCGCCCTCATCCCTTTATAAGCGCCGGCGCTTATCCGAGGCCTGCGCTTCTATCCGGGGTATGACGGTACTGCCCGACGGGTGACATGGCAGCAGACTTCCTCACGAAGAAACTGCCGCATGAGCAGTACCAGCACTGCTCCAAACTCAGCGGGGTAGTCAAGCGGGTCAAGGCTCGCTACGGCCAGGAGTGAAGGGGGGTGTTACGAATAGTGGTTATTGAAACACTATTGTGCACTCCTCACCGTAGCAATCGAAGCACGCACTACCGAGAATGAAGACGAAAGGGCAGAAGTAATGCGAAGGGACGTACGGTTACGAGGAGCATCTGGACCGTCGGGCAGACAGCATCAGGCAGCAGCAGTGGCGAGGATTCTGCCCGAACAGTTCCGTAACCACCCGGAGTCGCATGGTTGGATTTCGCTGCAATAAGGGAATATACCCCTTAGAGTACATGGCTAGCTAGGTCGTTTCGAATTCCGCTGTAATTTTATTCCTTGTACTGCATGTTTTTATTATCTCAAGCATTTACATTCACTCTGCTATTGAGGTCAAGGGCCCACCACCACTAGACTAGAAGTGTGCGAAGCTTCATGAGGTGATCCTGGTTACGATCAACTTCTGATCGCAGCACTACATACATCACATGTTCATTTCACCCAGCATATGTGAAATTTCTGCATTCCTGTTGACACACGTGTTTTCCCCCATTCCCAGCTCTTCCCCATGGCTTTCTCTGGTTCATATCACGCGAGCAACGCGATTTCTGGAACCATCAACCATACCAAAGCTGTTTCACACGTTTCAAACTGCTCATTGTCGCTGAGCACCAACGTAAGAAACATTAACACGTTCATTTCGAAGCCAAAGGCGCCTCGATTCACGGAAGGTCGACAGTTCGTACTAGCGACCACGCGGCGAAGTCATGGATCTCCACTGGTTCAGTCAGAGGAATATCGAGGTCGATGCTGTTATGCGTCGCGTGATGGCGTGACAGCAGCGACTGTGACTGTAGAAGGTGGTTTTGCGTCGGCCACGGAAGAGACAACCGCCGTTGAGGAGGAGTTATTCGACTGGGACAAAGCCTGGTACCCAGTAGGTACGTGAATGCCATATTTTTGAAATGACGGTCATAAAAGCAATCGTGCACGAAAAGAACCGTCACGTGTATCATCAGGAAAAGCGCCTGAGATAAACTAAAAGTGACACCCTGAGAAGTGGAGGGCCTGCAAACATAGGTTTGGACGTGCTTTGCAACAACTTAAATGCAGCGTCACGCTGAACATGTTCGAGCGTCAGAGTAACAATTTCGCTGCACGGAGAGCAACGTGATTTTTTCGTCTCGCATGTGCGCAGCAAAAAAGTGAAGTTTGCCTTGTGATTTTCCACGTTTCCTTGACACTTGGAAGAAAACAATTTTCGGCGATATCCTTTTCCGAATTGCGAGGTCGTGGAAGTTATAGCTCAGAAACTCATCATCATCAGGGAAGCTCAGTATTAGTACATGACATTGAAACATCACCTCATTCATTCCTTGTATCCTAGATTCTCCTCCCTCCCCTGTTTCCACTGTTTTCTCTCGCCCCTCCTAGCCTCCGTCGTCCCTTGCTTACTCCTCCCCACAACGCAGTTTCCCCCTTCTTTCAGAGTGCTGAATACCCCCCCCCCCCCCCCCCGCGGGTTGACCGCAATTCCTCGGAAAAGCTTCGGCGTGCACAATTCTGGATACCATCCTTTTTCCTCGGAGGTTCATCTCATTCCCCTCAATCCAATGTCTAGCACGTTTTCCTCTCCTCGCCAACCCCCCCTCCCCTCTCCCCCCACCTCCCCCCCACCACCATGCTACCTGCCAGTGCTCACCAAGACTCTGAGCAAGCGCAATCAGCGCTTATCCTCTTCCCCCCTTACCCCATTTCCTCTCTCCGCACATCATCTCATTCCCTTCCAATGTGTTAGCCACATTTTCCTCCTCTCACCCCCATTCCCCCCCTCCCCCCTTCACCACACCCACCAGCGCTCACCAAGACTCTGAACAAGCGTGTTCCCGAGCCTGTGACCATTCTCGGCCGCCCATTGGTCATCTGGTTCGATCGGGTGTCCGACCAATGGCGGGTCTTCCATGACCTCTGCCCTCACAGGTACTCGCAGTAACCATCCTCCCTCATTTGTTTCATAACATGTGTCCATTTGTTCCCTTATTGTTCTCTACTCTCTTCTGATACAGCATTATGCCCTAGTGCTTGCAAACGTAATATTCCTAACTTCATTCTCCCCTTGTCCAGCCTCGCGTTCTCTCTTCTTGCCTCCCGTACTCTTGCTTCCCCTTCCTTGGCCCCCCATCCCCTTTTCATTTCCACCATCCCCTTATCTCGCCTTTCTTCCTGTCTCCCGAACTCCTTAGCCTCACCTCGCTCCACCTCCTAGCTTGCCCCATTATCAGAGCGTTGATACACGAATCGGGGCAAATGGAGTGCTTGTTCCTTCACCTCCTCTCTTCCCTTGCACACTGAACTGGTTATTCCTACCACCTCCCTCCTCCCCACTCCCAGGCTTGCTCCGCTATCAGAGGGGCGGATCCATGAGTCAGGGCAGCTGCAGTGCTCCTACCACGGACGGTCGTACTTTCAGTCACAACTGGACTTGCCCTCTTCCCTCCTCTCCTCCCTCCCCCGCCCCTTATTCCTCCCAGGCTAGCCCCGTTATCAGAGGGGCGGATACACGAGTCAGGGCAGCTGCAGTGCTCCTACCACGGACGGTCGTACTTTCAGTCCCACCCTGCTGCTCCCCTCCGTTACCCAACTAAGTTGCCCCCTTCCCTCCCCCACTCTCTCTCCCCTCCTCCCAGGCTAGCCCCGCTATCAGAGGGGCGGATCCATGAATCAGGGCAGCTGCAGTGCTCCTACCACGGATGGACGTTCTCAGGAGAAGGCTCGTGCGGGCTCATTCCTCAGGCTCCTGCAGATGGACCAGCGGTGAGTGGGATTTTTTAGCTCCCATCATTCTTCTGTAAGATCAGGAGAAGGCTCGTGTGGGCTCATTCCTCAGGCTCCCACGGACGGGCCCGCAGTGAGTGGGATTCTGCTGCTTTTAGTTTTTTCTAAATCCAGTCATTCTGTAGTATTTGGAGAAGGCAACGTGTGGGCTCATTACTCGAGCTCCCACGGACCAGAGGCCCCATCGGGTGCATTTCTCAGGCTCCCATGGATGGCTTTTGAGACGTCTCAAAAGAAGCCCCATCGGTGCATTTCTCAGGCTCCCATGGATGGCTTTTGAGACGTCTCAAAAGAAGCCCCATCGGGTGCATTTCTCAGGCTCCCATGGATGGCTTTTGAGACGTCTCAAAAGAAGCCCCATCGGGTGCATTTCTCAGGCTCCCATGGATGGCTTTTGAGACGTTTCAAAAGAAGCCCCATCGGGTGCATTTCTCAGGCTCCCATGGATGGCTTTTGAGACGTTTCAAAAGAAGCCCCATCGGGTGCATTTCTCAGGCTCCCATGGATGGCTTTTGAGACGTCTCAAAAGAAGCCCCATCGGGTGCATTTCTCAGGCTCCCATGGATGGCTTTTGAGACGTCTCAAAAGAAGCCCCATCGGGTGCATTTCTCAGGCTCCCATGGATGGCTTTTGAGACGTTTCAAAAGAAGCCCCATCGGGTGCATTTCTCAGGCTCCCATGGATGGCTTTTGAGACGTTTCAAAAGAAGCCCCATCGGGTGCATTTCTCAGGCTCCCATGGATGGCTTTTGAGACGTCTCAAAAGAAGCCCCATCGGGTGCATTTCTCAGGCTCCCATGGATGGCTTTTGAGACGTCTCAAAAGAAGCCCCATCGGGTGCATTTCTCAGGCTCCCATGGATGGATTTTGAGACGTCTCAAAAGAAGCCCCATCAGGTGCATTTCTCAGGCTCCCATGGATGGGATATGCTACTCACCTGCAGTGAGGGAGGGGAGGTGAGCATGAAGACATCATCTGGTTCTGGCCCTTCCCCTTTCCTATTGTAACCTTCCCACCCCACCCCAACCCCCTCCCACTCCCAGGTGAACGCCTCCCCTCGAGCATGTGCGCGTGTGTACTCCTGTTGGGTGCATCAAGGCATCATCTGGTTCTGACCCTTCAGTTTTCCCAATGTACCCTTCCCATCCCCCAACCCCTTTTCCCACCCTCAACCCACCCTCCTCCCTCTCTCTCCCAGGTGAACGCCTCTCCTCGAGCATGTGCGCGGGTGTACCCCCGTCGGGAGCATCAAGGCATCATCTGGTTCTGGCGGGACTGCTCCCCCTCCGCTGCTGCTGAAGCAGCTGCTGCCCCACCACCCGCCTAGACCTTGCCACGTCCTTTCTCCCGCCTTCTCTTGCCCTTGTGTTGTCCCTTTCGTCCTCTCCCCTTCGCCCACCCATTCCCCTTCCCTGCTGCCCCTGCCCTTTGCCCCTGCTCCTGCCCCTTGCCCTTCCTCCCCCTCCCAGGTGAGCGCCTCTCCTCGAGCATGTGCGCGGGTGTACCCCAGTCGGGTGCATGAAGGCATCATCTGGTTCTGGCCGGACTGCTTTCCCTCCGCTGCTGCCGCCCCACCACCCGCCTAGACCTTGCAACTGCTCCTGCTCCTGCCCTCCCTCCTCCCCTCCCCCTCTCCCAGGTGAACGCGTCCCCTCGAGCATGTGCGCGTGTGTACCCCAGTCGGGTGCATGAAGGCATCATCTGGTTCTGGCCGAACTGCTCCCCCTCCGCTGCTGCTGAAGCAGCTGCTGCCCCGCCTCCCCCGTCCCTCCCTGAGTTTGACGATCCGAGCTTTCGATACGACACGGGCATGGCGGACCTAGAATACTGGTGAGCTGCTTGGAAAGTATTATGGGGCATTTGAGGCACCTAAGTCCCACCTTTCGATACAACACGGGCATGGCAGACCTTGAAGACGGGTGAGCTACAATGCACAAGGTTGGGGTGCAGGGTTTGAGCGGTTGGGGTGTTGAGACGTCTTGAAGCTCTTCCTGAGTTTGATGATCCGAGCTTCCGATACGACCCGGGCATGGCGGACCTAGAATACGGGTGAGTTTCTTTGCTAGGTGAGGTTCGTTTGCAGGTGAGGAGCTTTGCACCTGGGTTGTTGGATGTCTCGAGTTCGAGTTCTGTTGGAGTGACTTTGGGTTTTGAGAATTCTCAAAAGTCACTCCAACATTGTTGGATGTCTCGAGTTCGAGTTCTAGGACGTCTCAAAGCAAGGCATGCCGAGACTTCTTTGGCAAGGCAACTTGTTATATCGCCTCGGAACTCTCCCTGCGTTTGACAACCCAACCTTTCGACACCACACTGGCATGGCAGACCTTGAGTACGGCCGAGCTGCATTGCAAGGCTGGGTTGCAAGTCTAGCTTGCAGATTTTGCATATGGCTTTTGAGATGTAAAGGATGCCCCACCTCCCCAGTCCTCCCTTAGTTTAACGTTCCGAGCCATTCCTTTCCCCATTCCCAGTCCTCCCTACCCTTATCTCTCCCTACCCTTATCTCTCCCTACCCTTATCTCTCCCTACCCTTATCTCTCCCTACCCTTATCTCTCCCTACCCTTATCTCTCCCTACCCTTTCCCACTCCCTTCCCCCTTCGCTCCCCACAGCTACGAGATGCTGATGGAGAATCTGCTGGACCCAGCGCTTGTACCCTCCGCGATTTTCTGTCTCAAGCACCCCATATCCTCCCTTCCCCACGTCCCTACGTGTCTCCACTCTCGCTCCTTCCCCCCCACAGCTACGAGATGCTGATGGAGAATCTGCTGGACCCAGCGCATGTGCCCTTCGCCCATCACAAGTACCAGGTGGGTTCACAATTCCACGTGGAAGTTTGAAACCTCCAACTAGCTCAGGAAATTTGTCGCACCTGTCAAGACCCATCGCACGTGCCCTTCACTCATAACCTTTTATCCTCCTCACCACCCACCGGGATACCTCCCACAGGGCGATCGCAACAAGGCGAGGCCAATGCCATCCATGCTGGTAACCAGCATCACCCCACGGGGCATTGAGGGAACAAGCCTTGTACCCCTCTCATCGCTCTCCTCCCTTTCCCTTCCCACATTCCCATCTTTTGCAGGGCGATTGCAACAAGGCGAGGCCAATGCCGTCCATGGCGGTGACCAGCATCACCCCACGGGGCATTGAGGGAACAAACCTTTTATCCTCCTCACCACCTACCCGAACACCTCCCACAGGGTGATCGCAACAAGGCGGGGCCACTGCCGTCCATGGTGGTAACCAGCATCACCCCACGAAGCATCGTTGAGATGAGCCTTGTGACCTCTTCTATACTCCGCCGCTGTATGCCCTCTCACCTTCCCAGTTCTTCACCACAGGCTGATCGTAACAAAGCAGGGCTACTGCCGTCCATGCTGGTAACAACCAGCGTCACCCCATGAAGCACCCATGAGACACGTTTTGTGTCTTCTTCTATGTTCCACTGTATACACTCCCACGTTCGTAGGCGGATCGTAACAAGGCGGGGCCACTACCGTCCATGGCGGTAACCAGCATCACCGCACGGGGCATCGAGGGCACCAGCTTTGTGGGCAGCGGCCTAGCTGCTGTGGTCCCCCCCTGCACGCTCATTCAGAAGCTGCTCATTGGGGGGAAAGTGGTGAGATATTCTCTTTGTTACAAACAATTCCTTTGGTTCTACATACTCGGTAGCACACACTCGTTACAAGATTTCTGGGCGGCCCAGCGGCTGTGGGCCCTCCTTGCACGCTCATTCAGAAGCTCTTCATCGGAGGGAAAGTGGTGAGCTCCCTTCATTATAATCACAATACCTTCATTCAGGTGCCAATGAGTTTTGCCCAACTGCTGTGGTCCCCAACTGCACGCTCATTCAGAAGCTGCTGATCGGGGGGAAAGTGGTGAGCTCCCTTTATTATATTAATCACAATACTTTCAAACAGGTGCCTACAGGTTTTGCTTCAGCTCCTGTGGTCCGCCCTTGCACGCTCATACAGAAGCTGCTGATCGGGGGAAATGTGGTGAGGTTCATTTATAATGATCACTATTGTTTCGTTTTGCCGCTTTAGATTTTTTTCTCCCCTTTCCACCCCGGTTTTACCACATTCTTTCAACCGCCCCACCATCTTCCCCCTCCTTCCCTCACCACGCGCGATTCTGAGCAGCCAGAGGGGTCGGGCAAGAAGCAGCGGACGGCAATTCTATTCTTCCACTGCATTCCCTGCCTGCTGGGGCAGAGCCGCCTCATCTGGTTCTTCATGAACAACATCATCCCCCCCTGGGTGCCCATGCCCCCGGAGTGGTCTGTACCTTGAATCAACTTCAAATTAACCCTGATCTCTCACTCTTCTTCCCCCTTCCCCCGCTCTCCCCCCCTGGACCCTCCACCCCCTTCTCTCCCTCTCCCCCCACCGCGCGTCCCTCCCCACACCGTATTCTGAGCAGCCAGAGGGGTCGGGCAAGAAGCAGCGGACGGCAATTCTATTCTTCCACTGCATTCCCCGCCTGCCGGGGCAGAGCCGCCTCATCTGGTTCTTCATGAACAACATCATCCCCCCCTGGGTGCCCATGCCCCCCGAGTGGTTCCTTCCTACAATAACCTGGCTCTCTCCCCACATTCCCCCCCCCCCATTCTTCTCCTCCCGTTCTTCTCCTCCCATTATCCTCCTCTCCCTCTCTAAACCCCTCCTTTCTGCGCAATCCTGTGCAGGCAGAGGGGTCGGGCAAGAAGCAGCGGACGGCAATTCTATTCTTCCACTGCATTCCCCGCCTGCCGGGGCAGAGTCGTCTCATCTGGTTCTTCATGAACAACATCATCCCGCCCTGGGTGCCCATGCCGCCCGAGTGGTTCGTGCACCTGACAAGGATGAAAGTGCTAGACACCGACCACCCGTTGCTGCACCTCACAGTATGCCGCCTTTCCAGAAGACGTTATTGCGCTATTGTGCATCTCGCACACTTGGAGTCTGAACTGGAAACGAGTGCCCGCCTGGATGCCCTTCCCCTCCTCCCCCGATTGGTTGGTGCACCTGACAAGGATGAAAGTGCTAGACACTGTCCACCCTTTGCTGCACCTCACGGTATGCCTCCTCAGTGCATGATGCACGCACGCACTTGTTCTGAGACGTGTCAAAACTCTCCTACTTGTTTTGAGACGTCTCAAAACTTTCCAACAAGCTCTCACTAATGTACTGAATCTCATACTTCTGTTGTGTAACAGGAAACACATGGCCTAATGCAGGAGCGGCGGCTGAGAGGAAGAGGGAGGGGCGGTGCAGCGGGTAAAGAGCTACTACACTCCCACGTCAGCCGACTCATTCATCGTACAGCTCCTCGCTTCTCTCTCACCTTTCTCTCTGCCTTACCTCATTGTCTGTCCCTACAGGAGCGGCGGCTGGAGGAGGAGGGAGGGGCAGAGCAGGGGGTAAAGAACTACTACACTCCCACATCAGCCGACTCGTTTGTCTCGGCCTATCGCTCCTGGCTGCTCAGATTTGCGGGCGGCAAGGCCCGCTTTCCTGCCTACGTGAATCCACAGCTCCCCCCAGCCAAGTCAAGGCGGGAGATTCTTGATAGGTGAGAAGGCGAGCTTCGGTTCGACTCAAAACACAATTTTCGGCTTACGTTAATCCGTAACTCCCCTAGCCAGGTCGAGGCGGGAGATTCTTGAGAGGTGAGAAGGCGAGTTTTGTCAGTTACGATAAGGTCGATTCGAGGGCAGAGGGCAGAGGGCAGACGGCAGAGGGCAGAGGGCAGAGGGCAGACGGCAGAGGGCAGAGGGCAGAGGGCAGAGGGCAGAGGGCAGAGGGCAGAGGGCAGAGGGCAGAGGGCAGAGGGCAGAGGGCAGAGGGCAGAGGAAGAAGAAGCGTATTTCCTAGCTGTTCATGTGCTCTTGTTGCATCCAATTGTGGAGCAATTCCACGTGCGGCTTTGCCCCGACTGCCGGCGGGTGCAGCGCTGGTCTTTTTAGGCAGGGTACATGCCTGCCCCCCAACCCCCTCCCCTCCACGTGACTGAAGAAGTGTTTTGAGACGTCTCAAAACTCTTTTTAGGCAGGCAGGGTACATGCCTGCCCCCCAACCCCCTCCCCTCCCCCCACAACAGGCAGCGCTTCCATGTGTGGCTGTGCCCCGACTGCCAGCGGGCGCAGCGCTGGTCTTTTGAGGTGCATCAAAATTCAAACCTCCTCTCACACCCCTCACCCCCCCATCCTCCCCAAAACTGCAGGCAGCGCTTCCATGTGCGGCTGTGTCCCGACTGCCAGCGAGTGCAGCGCTGGTCTGACCGCCTCCACACCGCCCTCTGGGCCGCCTCCCTCCTCCCCCTCGCCGCCACTGCCCTTCTCCCCCTCGCCCCTATCCTCTCCCTCCCCCCCCTTAGCCAAGTTTCAGAACCCCGAGGAGATGCTCTTTTCTTCCCTCTCCCCATTCTGTGCCCTCTACCCCTCTCCTCCCCTTAACCGTCTCCACCCTCGCCAACACTGCAGGCAGCGCTTCCACGTGCGGCTGTGCCCCGACTGCCAGCGAGTGCAGCGCTGGTCTGACCGCCTCCGCACTGCCCTCTGGGCCGCCTCCCTCCTCCTCCTCGCCGCCACCGCTCTTCTTCCCATCGCCCCCCCTGCTATTCGGCAAGCGGCGGGCCCCATGGGTGCTGTTTTTGCAGCGGCTGCTGCGGTGGTGTGTGCGGCTGCTGCCCACTGGTTGAAGGGGTTCATCGAGAGGAATTATGTGTACGAGGACTTTGTTCATGCGCTCTGGTACCCTGCGAAGAAGTAAATTCACAGGCTGCAAATGTCAAGAGCACCAAGTTGGCATTTCTGAGGCGTCTCAAAAGTGGTGTGAGCGGCTGCTGCACACTGGTTGAAGGGGTTCATTGAGAGGAACTATGTGTATGAGGACATTGTGCATGTGCCTTGGTACCCTGCGGAGAAATCGGCCTAAAAAACTACTGTACTTCGGGTTGCAGACGCGGTCATACCGGTGCATTTAGACAAGACTCGTTGTTTAATAATTGTGAGTCGTGACGCCTATAATGTAGTCACGTCCTTACAGGAATGTAATACCTTCTTGTACTTAACTACATACGCTTTGCCTATGACTCGTAACTCCAATTACAGATCTCTAGCACCACCAACAGCACCAGCACCCCTAGCACCAGCATCGCCAGCAACAGCAGCAGCAGCAGCAGCAGCGTTTGGTTACCTAGAAATGGGGCCGAAAACAAAACCCACCGGGCCACTATGCATGCATAACATACACCTACCCCTATCTTATTCCAAGACCAATCAATCGGATAACGTTGGGTTACGATCATTTCGGACAATCGGGAATCCCCCACCAAGGGGAATCCACCCAGGCAGGGTGGGAATGACCTTCGACAACCATCAGGTGTAACCACACATCACAGGTGTCCGGAGTACCCCCGATCATGGGCTCTTTGAGTGCTTGTATAACCGTTACTACCATCCCCTAACGCACCACTGGCACCAGCAGCACCAGCACCAGCACCACCAGCACCACCAGCAGCACCAGCAGCACCACCATCAGCACCACGTGAGAAGATATTTTTCAGAAGCTGCCGGCCGCGCCGATGTGGCGTGGTGGACCTCCTATCACTGCCCTCCACGTCATCAACACCTGAAGCCCCTCCAGCGTGCAACGAGGAGGCGACGAGGGGGAAGTGCCCCTTGGGAGTGGTAGGCTCCTGTGGGAACGGAGTGGGAGAGGAGAAGAGGGGATTCAAGTGAGTATAAGGGGATGTGAACTGTTCAGAGAATTGTGGGCTGCTGTAAACGAGGGGTGGCACACTGCAGTAGAGGGTCGCTGATCCCTTTCACTTCATTAATGCCCGAAACCTGTCTCCTGTGCAGCAAGGAGGCAATTAGAGGGCCATGGGGTTTGGGTGGAGTGGGCACCTGTGGGGGGTGGAAGAACAAAGGGCAAGGAATTACACAAGCGGAAGCGAGGAGTTTCTGGGTGTAAAAGTAAAAAAGGATATAGAAATAGAGGTTGGAAAATGTGTTACATTGTATTTTTGCAATGGAGATCGTAGTACCTTGCTTTGTCGAGCGTGCGAGCCTCGGTGTCCCATGTGTTGCGAGAGCGAGTGAGAGAGCGAGTGCATGAGCCCTTGGAACTGGTTAGGGTTGTGAGTTTGCTGCCCAGACACGGTTTCCCGGTTTTCAGGTATTTCCGAATATTACCTTGCTTTGTCGAGCATGCGAGCCTCGGTGTCCCATGTGTTGCGAGAGGGAGTGGGAGAGAGAGTGCATGAGACCGTGAGACTGCGAGAGGTTGTGCGAGCGAGAGAGGTTGGAGAAATGGGGGAGGTTGTGAGAGTGCGAGAGGTTGGGTGAGTGAGAGAGGTTGTGTGAGTGTGATTGTTTCCGCGACAGTATCTTGTCAGCAGAGTGTGGTGTTGCTGCCGATGGGTTGGAGAGGGTTGATGAGGAGTGGGGAACGGTAGAGGAGGAGGGGAAGGAGGACGAAAAGGAGGGGAAGGAGGAGGACGACGAAGTGGAGGAGGAGGAGGGTGGTAGACCAGCTAAGCAGTCGAGAGATGCACGGACGGATGGCATACCTGAAAACACAGAGATGGGAACGATAGAAGAAACAAGCAAATGAGTAAACTGGGTGTTTTTAGCAGGAAGACAGCAACCTACACCTAAACCCTGAACCCTCACTTGGCACCAGCTCAATAGCATGACGTCCTTTGTTATTATCCACAGAGGCTCTTGAGATTCCCAAACAAACGGCCTAAGCAAGTTATGAGACGTGTCAAAACTTGGTAGTACCAACTCAAAGGCATGAAGTCCTTGCTATTGTTCACAGAGGCTCTTGAGATTCCCAAACAAACGGCCTAAGCGAGACCAGCAGGTGCCAAACCAGACCGACAGGAGCAATCGGCCCTCCTGCTTCCAACGCAACGGCTTCCTTTGCGTAACGCAGAGTTTGGGGCGTTTTGTGTGGGCAGTTTTCGAAGCAACTCTGCGGCTGGTGTGTGCCGTGTACTCACCAGCCGTGGCAGAGCGGGGGACGAGGGAGGAAGAAGCAAGACTGTCAAGAAGGCTGGATGGAACAGTGGAGGGGAGGAAGCGACGCGAGAAGGGGAAGGGGGAGTGGGAGGGGAGGGAGAGTTTGAACTACACTAAACAGTGAAGAGGAAGTGACGGGCAAAGGGGGAAGAGGGAGCGGGAGGGGAGGAGGCGTTTAAAGACTGCACATACTCTCATAGCTTGTTAAACAAGTTGCTTTTTACAAAAGAAAGGAAAGGAAACGACACAGCAGGAGGAGCAGGGAGGAGGAGAGCGCCACAAGGGAGGGAACTTTGGCGCAAGGTTGGGAAGAGGGGTATACACGAGAATACCTGTATAATTTCATTCGGGTACACACCTTTCAGAAGGGGGGGCAAGGGGCATGGAGGAGAGGAGTGACGAGGAGGAGAGGGCTGTGTGGGACGAGCCTCGAGGGTCTGGAGAGTGTGGGATGTGGGGAGATGGACGGGCGAGAGGGGTGAGGAGGGATGGTTTGAGTGCACAGGATGGAATGTATATGGAGTGACGAGGAGGAGAGGGCTGTTTGGGACGAGCCTCGAGGATCTGGAGTGTGTGGGGAGAGGAGAGATGTATGGGAGAGAGGGAAGGATGGGTGAGAGGGAAATGGGGTGCGGTGAGTGCATGTGTATGGGATGGATGGATTGAACACGGAAAGTATGATACTTGGTGCTCACCTATTGTAGGGGAGGCTCTAATCCGACCGGACTCACCTCTCGTAGGCGAGGCAGAATAGCCCGACCCATACTGGAAGCACTCCCGTTCCATGCATGCTGCTGCAACACTTGATAGATTGTGCCCAATTTATCTCTCACAAAAGAAGACTCACTTCTCGTTGGGGAAAGCACCACACTGAAAGAGAGACTCACCTCTTGTAGGGGAGGCAGAATAGCCCGACCCATACTGGAAGCACTCCCGCTCCATGCTTGCTGCTGCAACACTTGATAGATTGTGCCCAACTCATCTCTCACACAACAAGACTCACCTCTCGTAGGGGAGGCAGAGTAGCCCGACCCATACTGAAAGCACTCCCGCTCCATGCATGCTGCTGCTGCAGCCGCTGATGCTGGTGCTGCTGATGGTGCTCGTGCTGCTGCTAGTGCTGACGCTTCTGCTGCTGCTTCGGCTATGAAAGGGAAGGCATCGGAGGGGGATAGGAGGAAAACGGAAAGAAACAGGGTGAAAGAATGAAGCGCCTTAAGCGAAGCATAGCAGGGAAAGGAAGGAACATTCGGAGGTGAGACACATGGAAGGAGGAGGATAACGGAGAGAAGAGAAGGAGTAACTGCCATCGAAGCAGCACCCTGATTGGCTTACCTGGCAGCAGGTAGCTCTTGGGCATGTGACTGGTTGCCCTGGGTTGCTGCTGTCGGTTCAGTGCATTGCGCCCTGAGTACTCCCAACACGCCCGCACTCGCTGCAGCAATGAAAGGAGAGTACAGCACAGAATAGGCATGGAATCAGGCACATGGAAAGGAAGATGAGGCTGCTGCTGTCGGTTCAGTGCATTGCGCCCTGAGTATTCCCAACACGCCCGCACACGCTGCAGCAATGAAAAGAGAGTACAGCACAGAATAGGCATGGAATCAGACACATGGAAAAGAAGATGAGGCTGCTGCTGTCGGTTCAGTGCATTGCGCCCTGAGTATTCCCAACACGCCCGCACTCACTGCAGCAATGAAAAGAGAGTACAGCACAGAATAGGCATGGAATCAGGCACATGGAAAAGAAGATGAGGCTGCTGCTGTCGGTTCAGTGCATTGCGCCCTGAGTATTCCCAACACGCCTGCACTCGCTGCAGCAATGAAAAGAGAGTACAGCACAGAATAGGCATGGAATCAGGCACATGGAAAAGAAGATGAGGCTGCTGCTGTCGGTTCAGTGCGTTGCGCCCTGAGTATTCCCAACACGCCCGCACACGCTGCAGCAATGAAAAGAGAGTACAGCACAGAATAGGCATGGAATCAGACACATGGAAAAGAAGATGAGGCTGCTGCTGTCGGTTCAGTGCATTGCGCCCTGAGTATTCCCAACACGCCCGCACTCGCTGTAGCAATGAAAAGAGAGTACAGCACAGAATAGGCATGGAATCAGGCACATGGAAAAGAAAATGAGGCTGCTGCTGTCGGTTCAGTGCGTTGCGCCCTGAGTATTCCCAACACGCCCGCACACGCTGCAGCAATGAAAAGAGAGTACAGCACAGAATAGGCATGGAATCAGGCACATGGAAAAGAAGATGAGGCTGCTGCTGTCGGTTCAGTGCGTTGCGCCCTGAGTATTCCCAACACGCCCGCACACGCTGCAGCAATGAAAAGAGAGTACAGCACAGAATAGGCATGGAATCAGACACATGGAAAAGAAGATGAGGCTGCTGCTGTTGGTTCAGTGCATTGCGCCCTGAGTATTCCCAACACGCCCGCACTCGCTGTAGCAATGAAAAGAGAGTACAGCACAGAATAGGCATGGAATCAGGCACATGGAAAAGAAAATGAGGCTGCTGCTGTCGGTTCAGTGCGTTGCGCCCTGAGTATTCCCAACACGCCCGCACACGCTGCAGCAATGAAAAGAGAGTACAGCACAGAATAGGCATGGAATCAGGCACATGGAAAAGAAGATGAGGCTGCTGCTGTCGGTTCAGTGCATTGCGCCCTGAGTATTCCCAACACGCCCGCACTCGCTGTAGCATAGAAGAGTGGGGGGCACACACACGCACGCACGTGCGCGAGCGTGTGCACCATCGCACGTACGCACGCATGCACATGCGCACACAAGCCCGCACACAAGCCCGCACACAGACACACACACACACACACACACAAACACACACACACACACACACACACACACGCGCACACACGCATACACACCCATACACACAGAGACGCACATGAACCACTGAAGCTAAGGAGGATGCAAGATGGCAGAGGCAGAAGCGACGCCCCAGCCCCACCCCCACCCTTCCCTTCCCCCCCCCCCCCTCCTCCCCCCCCCCCCCCCCCCCCCCCCCCCCCCCCCCCACACACACACCCATACACACAGAGACACACATGAACCACACGCACCCAAACACACATGCATGCGATGGTGCATGCAAGGTAAGCCTACACGCACCCACACACACATGCGAACGCACATTCCCGCATGCGACGCGACCATGACGTCAGCAGCAGCCATCTCCTTGGCCTGCAGCGAGACGGCGCCGGTGAAGCGATCAGCCGCACCCAGACACACATGCATGCGAGAACGTGCGTACCTGAGACGGAGCGCGCACACACAGACACCTCCCCCCCACACACACAAGCACAGAAACACGTGGACACACACCGACACCCACTCCCCTGCTCGCCCGCCCACACACATCTCGCACATGCTCGCATGCATGGACACCCATACCTCGGCAGCTGACGCGACTCTGACGTCAGCAGCAGCCATCTCCTTGGCCTGCAGGGAGACGGCATCGGTGAAGCGATCGGCCGCAGCGCCAATGCGGTCCACCACGGACACTAGCATGCTCACTGCATAGTCCCTCACGTTATGGAGTTCTCTGCGTGGGGAGGGAGTAGGGGGCACACACACGCACGATTGAGTAGCAGCGCCAATGCGATCCACCACAGATACCAGCATGCTCACTGCATGGTCCCTCACGTTGTGCAGCTCTCTGGATTGAGAGGTGAATCGAGGGGAAGGGAGGGATTGAGGGTCACAATACAATCAAGCAGCAGCAAGCCAATGCTGTCCACCACGGACACGAGCATGCTCACTGCATGGTCCCGCACGTTGTGCAGCTCTATGCGTGGGAGTAGCACAGTGGAGGAAAGGAGGGGGAACAGCACGGCATAAGGATATGAGGTTGGCAGCAGCGCCAATGCGGTCCACCACGGACACCAGCATGCTCACTGCATAGTCGCGCACGTTGTGCAGCTCTCTGCTTGGGGACGGATGGATAGAGGGGTGGGAGGGAAATGGTTAGGCAGAAACAAGCAACAAGCCAATGCGGTCCACCACGGACACCAGCATGCTCGCTGCATAGTCGCGCACGTTGTGCAGCTCTCTGCTTGGGGACGGATGGATAGAGGGGTGGGAGGGAAATGGTTAGGCAGAAACAAGCAACAAGCCAATGCGGTCCACCACGGACACCAGCATGCTCACTGCATAGTCGCGCACGTTGTGCAGCTCTCTGCGTGGGAGAAGCACAGTGGAGGAGAAGAGAGGAAATAGCACGGAGAAGGCTGGATGGCTGGATGGCTGGATAAATGGCTCAAACAGTACGGAGACAGGCTAAGGAAACGAGCTACAATACCATTGTTGCTTACATGTCCTTTTGGTCCGTGACAAGATATGCCTCCTCCGCATACGTGGCAGCATCCAATAGGGTGGGCTGCAGGTCACGCAGCTCCTGCATTCACAAGGCGTAGAATTCAGCATAAGGTTTAGCATAAAGATGCCACATTCCTTGGTGTATTTGGAGCTCAATCTCTTCAAATTTCCGTGCCTAGGAACTCCCTGTCTACACGTGAAAAGAGGGTGTTATTGAGACGTCTCAAAAACACCCTCCTTTCCGTGCCTAGGAACTCCCCTGTCTACACATGCTCAGGCTCTTTGCTAACTCACGTTAACGCTAACTACCTGCGCGGTCTTGACAGCGTGATTGTTTCAGGTATTGAAATGTATGTCTCACGTCCGCAGTCTACCTACTGGTCTCTGCGGTTTGTATCGATCAGAAGTTAAGCTCACGAACCTGAATGCTTCGTTGCAACATCTTGTCAAACGGATCCGTACTCGCTTTTGCCATTCCTGCTACACGAATGTATCGAACCCTCGACCTCGCAGTCCACAGAAAACCGTACAGGGGACAAGCAATGACAACTTGGGAACTGAGAAGCTTTCGACTGTAAGATTGAGCTGGTTCCGTTTGACAGCCGATTATCTGGGACTGCGCAATTAATGATATTCATCTACTTCATATCGCACTACACCGCCAAAAAAATCCTTATGAAGCTTAGTTTAGGACTCAGGCAGCATCAGTTTCTTCGTATCGCACAAGGGACCCAATCAGCTAATCTTGTCTATGTCGTCCCTAATAGGATAACGCGTTAGTGAACTGGGTCGCCACTGCTCGCAAGTATTGGCGAGCTCGAGCTTGGGTGGAAATCACTGGCTCCGTTTTTACTGTGGGAACTTCGATGGATGCCACTTTCCCAAGCCGTGGTTCGGCTGAACCAAACTTGCGAATTATGTTTGAGAGAGGTGAGGCATGGTATGGTGCGGTAGACCTTATTTCAGCGTGGTTGGTTGACTTCCCTTCAGGGCCCGGGTTCGGCAGCATGGGTGTCCGCAGTTCCAGCGCATGATGACGCAACTTTCACCCCTGTGGAGTGGGGCATTTCGGCGGCAATCCGTTTGGGCCTTCCCGTCCACCAGCTTCTGGTTGCTGGCAAGTGTGTTTGCGGTGTGGAGTTCAAGGACCCGTCAGATCCGCACCATGCTCTTCGGTGCAAGTACCAGTACGCCCCGTCTCGTGTTCATGATGGAGTGAAGCTCGTTGTTGCTAAGATAGCCAAGGCATCGGGTGGGGTGGTTACGATCGAGGATGACACGCTTCTGCCGGGGAAGAGAGTGGATGTGGCGGTTAGGAAACCAATGGACGGGGAAAAACATGCGCTCGAGATGAGCGTCGTGGATCCGGTTTCGCTACCGGTGCAGAAGCATGGGCAGTGTGGGCGGACAGTAGGTTTTGCTCCCAAGGAGCGAGAGAAGAGGAAGGCGACGGATTATCAACCTTTTCTGCGGCAGCACATGGGGGTTCGTTTCTTCCCGTTGATTCTTGAGACTTGGGGTTGCTTGGGGGGAAGCTTTCGACAGTGGTTACGGCAGCAGGGGGAGGTTCAAGTAAAGGTGGCTCTTAACAAAGGTGTGGGAAGGGGCAACAGCTCGGGTTTCTCGGAATACTTGGTGGGGTCCTTGACAGCCGCGGTAGGGGTAGCTTTGCAGAAGGCACAGGCTCGGGTGATTCTTTTGCGGGCGGCATACACGTTGGGTCAGTCCGAGGCGGAGTGGGTGGAGCGAGGGGGTGGGGAGCAGGAGTTTGGAGAGGGAGCACCATGGGTGGACGTGCCCTACTTGGTCGACATGCGGCTGTAGATGTCTTAGGAAGCAATACTTTGTTTCGGGTTTTGGCGATGGTCTTTTGATGTTTGAGGTAGTAAGACACTTCTAGGAAGGGTTTATGCATGTCTGTATGCTTGTTGAAATGTAACGAGTACGCCGTCAGGAGGCGGAGCGTGTTCCTGGGAGTTCCAGGTACACCTCTTCTCCGGTAATTTCACGGGGGGACATACCCGAGTCGCGTTAACGTTTGCCCGAGAGGGTGTGAAATTTGACAGAGCAAAAAAGTTATGGTTAATTTCACACACGAGTCGCAAAGCCTGCAGCTGACATGGATAAAGTACATCGCACGATCTCAGGGAAATTTATCCAGCCAGTGCCACATCACCACGTCAGGATTGCGTGGGGCTGGGTTCACACCCAAAACAGAATCAGGGCATGCTCAGTTTTGTTTCGAAGAAGTTCATGTCGGCCTATGAAACGTTGACACTGTTTTGGAGGAATACGAAGTTCAAAATTTAACGCAAGCTCACACAATACGAAGTCAAATTTCCTAGTCCGAACCTCACCAAGAATACGCCCCGAATAATTCAGAAGTTGTGGCTTCCATCTCAGCCTCACAAGTATAAATTGCGTCATTTCTGTGGGGGGGGGGGGGGGGTCTAGATGTTCAACCATACTTTGGCAGCTCGGCTTCCAAGAAAGTTGGGCTGAGGACCCCGAAGTGACACCGAGACGCGGTGCGAAATTAAGGGTAGTGAAGATATCGGAGAACATGTGTATGCGTGTCGAGAAACGGCAGACTGACACCCCCAGACACAACCTGTTCCTGGTTCGGGCTAGTCAGACGCAGCTTTTGAGGGGAACCGTGCCGTGCAAGGGAAAGGCTCGGGAGTGAGGCTCGGTCTGGTTTTGGAGAAATGTCCAGACCAGACGAGGCGCTTCATCTGGGCTGGTGGGCTTCGTAAATGTCTCGCTTGGGGGATGGTGCGAGTACCACTAGAGCAATCGTTTATTCTTTACATTCGCGACAAAAAAATGGCATTATCGAAGCTGAAAGCATTCTACAGAATATGCACCCAAAGTAACTGCCTCCAGTAATGAGCAAAGTCTTAAAAAGCCCAGGGTAAACATGGGAGGGGTCCTCCTGAAAAGCAAATATACATGCAACAATCACACGCTTGATTCATAAATATATGTCCATTGTGCATCTATCACAGCACCCATCAACCATTGAGAGTCATTTGTTGAGCGTGGTGGAGTACATGAGCTCTCCAAAAACACCATAAAAGTTAACGGTCAGTGAGTTCCTGGAAACCTCCAGAGAACTGAAGCCCTGCCCAGGAAAGAAGAACCGCAGGCCTGGGGCGACAGGGGGAGCATCGCCTCGCCACGCCTTGGATCCCCCACCCACCGTGAAATAGTGAACGGGACTGAATCACGGGAGACATCAGATAGGAGACAGAGGGGCGAAAGTCGATAGGAGAAACAAAGGTGAATGTTTTAGGGCACCCTAGGATAAGGACTAGAGAAAGAGACAATGAATTCATGTGCCAAAAAAGGGCACGCTGTAAGTACCCAAGCACGGGGCTAACAGCTGGAAGACGAAGGTCCAGATCAGTAATTATAGCCCGTGATGGGGTTCAGGGCTCAGAATTGAATGGGGGGCTCACCTCTCATCCTTTTTTATGTGCTGCATGTTGTGATCGTGACCGTTGATGTACACGTCTACACCGTACTTCTGATAGTGTCACAAACAAATAGGAATGCCGTAAGGGGAGTTGGGGCGGGAATCAATATTGAATGCTTGCTCTTGGAGACACACGTGTGCCATGTGTGAGCCCACAGAAGTAATACACTCGGCATAAACCCTTTCCTGCATTGAATGGATCTGAAAATGGGTTCAACTCACCCAGGTGCTTGTATAACACATGGAAAGTTAGAAGCTAAAACAGTGGAACAAATGTGTGGGTACAGGACAGAAAGACCACCAATTTGCACAACATGACTATACATAGACTACCCTTTCTAGCCTCAATCTCACCTCTAACAGGGGCTTAATCCTTTCCACCATCTCCGGCTGGTCGCCGTGCTAGCCATAGCTGAACACCGGATGGTGCGCCCCCACCACCTTCCACCGCGCCTGCGAGTTGCTCAGCCACCCCTCCAGCTCCTGCCACACACGGAAAAGAGCGAAAGAAAATGCTTGGGTGACTCGTGGATCTGTGCAGATGTGCGCCTCATGCATGAATGCACACCAGATATCGTGTGTGTGTGTGTGTGCGCGCGCGCGCGTGTATGTGCGTGAGTCGCAGTCAATGCAACACCCCTCCTCTCCCGCACCTGCAGCTGTGCCTCCACCTGCCTGCTCCAGTTGCCCGTGTTGAGGTCCCTCCATTCCACCACCCCTCAGTCCACCCGCCTACCCTCCTCTACCCCCATTCCACCCTCCTCCTCCTACCCAAACAGCACTACTTCCGCCCCTCACCTGCAGCTGTGCCTCCTCCTGGCGGCTCCAGTTGCCCGTGTTGAGGCCCCTCCAATCCACCCGCCGGCCCTCCAATCCACCCGACGGCCCTCCTTGTGAAACAGGTCAACAAAGTCAACGCAGTCAATGCAGTCAGCCCCTCACCTGCAGCTGTGCCTCCTCCTGCCGGCTCCAGTTGCCCGTGTTGAGGCCCCGCCAGTCCACCCGCCGGCCCTCCTTGTGAAACAGGTCAACAAAGTCAACGCAGTCAATGCAGTCAGCCCCTCACCTGCAGCTGTGCCTCCTCCTGCCGGCTCCAGTTGCCCGTGTTGAGGCCCCGCCAGTCCACCCGCCGGCCCCCCTTGTGAAACAGGTCAACAAAGTCAACGCAGTCAATGCAATCAGCCCCTCACCTGCAGCTGTGCCTCCTCCTGCCGGCTCCAGTTGCCCGTGTTGAGGCCCCGCCAGTCCACCCGCCGGCCCTCCTTGTGCCGGTACGCAGGGATCAGCGGCATCGAGTCGTACAGAAACAGGTCAACAAAGTCAACGCAGTCAACGCCCTGCCCTCCTCCAGAGTCAACGCAGTCAGCGCCCTGGTTATCAGAGTCCACACGATCAGCGCCGTGACCAGCTGAGTCAATAGGGTCAACGGGGTCAACGCTCCGCCCACCAGAGTCACCACCCTGGTTGTTCAAAGTAACAGAGTCCACATAGTCAACGCCCTGGCCATGTGAGTCAACGTGGTCAACGCTCTGCTCCTCCATCTCAGCACAGCTGGGGAGCGAGAGGGCCATGCTGCGGCGGCAGGTCCATCGAGGGTCGCGATTGGCCAGCGCTGGGTGTAGCTGGGCTAGCACGTTTCCGTAGTAGTCATGGTTTCCCAGGACTGATAAGGAACAGGGTAGTGGTAAGGAACAGGGTAGTGAGAAGGAGAAGGAACAGGGTAGCGAGAAGGAGAAGGAACAGGGTAGCGAGAAGGAGAAGGAACAGGGTAGCGAGAAGGAGAAGGAACAGGGTAGTGAGAAGGAGAAGGAACAGGGTAGTGAGAAGGAGAAGGAACAGGGTAGTGAGAACGAGAAGGCTAGGGTGAGGTGAGGGAGGGTGGCCAGCGCTGGGTGCAGCTGGGCCAACAAGTTTCCATATTAGTCATAGTTTCCCAGGACTGGCGCAGAACAGGGGAAAGGGGAAGGGGGAAAAGGAAGGCCAATGATTGGCCAGCGCTGGGTGTAGCTGGGCTAACAAGTTCCCATAGTAGTAGTTATGGTTTCCCAAGACTGAAGGCAAACAGGTGGGGAAGCAAACAGAGAAGGCAAAGGAGAAGTGGAGGGAGTAAAGGAAGGGTGTAGCTGGGCTAACACGTTCCCTGTTAAATCATGGTTTCCCAGGACTGATGGCGAACAGAAGGAGGAGGAGAAGGAGAAGGAGAAGGAGAAGGAGAAGGAGAAGGAGAAGGAGAAGGAGAAGGAGAAGGAGAAGGAGAAGGAGAAGGAGAAGGGGAGAGGGAAGCGGAAGGGGAAGGCGGAAAGGAAGAGTTGCAATTGGCCAGCACTGGGTGTAGCTGGGCTAACACGTTTCCATAGTAGTCGTGGTTTCCCAGGACTGGCAGTGAACGGTGGGGGTGGGGAAGGAAGAAGGGGAAGGAAAGAAAGAGGGATGGTCGTGCGTGATTGGCCAAGCCAGCGAGCAACTGAGCTAACAAGTCCCTGTGGAAGTCTGGTTTTCCAAAACTGGCAGGGCATCGACATCTGGAAGGCCGAGCTTCAGGCAAACACTCGCACTAAACGACAGAAGCTATTTCACCAGCACGTGTGGGTGGGCTTTCCCACAGATGCAAGGGGATCTGCAGGCTGTGGTGCGTGTAGATATTTATGAAGGACTGGGCGAACTGGAGGGCATTCAGCTCTGTAAGGCCTATTTTTGAGGCGCCTCAAAAAAAGACTGAGCGAACTGAGGGGCATTCAGCTCTGCAAGGCCCCGCCCAGCCCAGCCCAGGTACAGGCGAACACTCCCACCCACCAGCAGCAGCATGTAGGTATGGGGTTACCAGCACATGCGGGCTCTGAGGTCGTTTTTGAGGCGCCTCAAAAACGACCTCACTGCATACCAGGGGATCTGCAAGCTGTGGTGAGTGAACATTTGTGAAGGACTGGGCGAGGTAGGGGGGATAGATGTCTGGAAGGCCAGCTACTGACAGACAATCACACTGAAAAAAACATACAGCCTTACCAGCACATGTGGGCTTACCCACAGATACTGGGCTCACCTGCATACCAGGGGATCTGCAGGCTGCGGTGGGTGTAGATATTCGTGAATGACTAGGCGAACCGGGGAGCATTTACGTCTGGGACTGGGAGGCCAGCTACAGGCACACACCCGCCTCACACCAACCGACACGTACAGGCTTACCGACACATGGGGGTTCACCAGCAGATACAGGGCGCACCGGTACATGCTGCCTTACCTGCATACTACTCTTGAGGCGCCTCACATGCGGCCTTACCTGCATACTACTCACATGCGGCCTTACCTGCATACTACTCACATGCGGCCTTACCTGCATACTACTCACATGCGGCCTTACCTGCATACTACTCACATGCGGCCTTACCTGCATACTACTCACATGCGGCCTTACCTGCATACCAGGGGGTCTGCAGGCTGCGGTGGGTGTAGATGTTGGTGAATGACTGGGCGAACTGGGGGGCATTCAGCTCTGAACGGCGCAGTCCAACTACAGGCGAACACTCTCACCCATTAGCAAGTAGGTATGGGGTTACCGGCACATGCGGCCTTACCTGCATACCAGGGAATCTGCAGGCTGCGGTGGGTGTAGATATTCGTGAAGGACTGGGCGAACTGGGGGGCATTGGTATCTGGAAGGCCGAGCTCGAGGAAGTTGTCTCCCAGCGACACCACAAACTGCGGGTGCATGTGGGCTCCGACCAGGCCCATCTGATTCGCATGAGGATGGGAGGTGAGGGATAGGGATAATCTGATCAAAGTGTGAAAAACTGGGGAGCATTGATGTCTGGGAGGCCCAGCTCGAGGAAGTTGTCTCCCAGCGACACCACGGACTGCGGGTGCATGCGGGCTCCGATCAGGCCCATCTGATAGGGACGGTAAGATGGGTGATGGGGTGGTGGGGAAAGGGTTGCTGTTGGCATCACGTCTGGGAGGCCCAGCTCGAGGAAGTTGTCTTCCAGCGACACCACGAACTGGGGGTGCATGCGGGCGCCAATTAGGCCCATCTGAATGGGATCAGAAGACGGGAGATGGGGTGGTGGGGAAAGGGTTGCTGTTGGCATCACGTCTGGGAGGCCCAGCTCGAGGAAGTTGTCCCAGAGACACCAGGAACTGGGGGTCCATGCGGCTTCCCACGAGTCCCATCTGGTTTGCATGCAGGGATGAGGGGATGGGCAAGGAAGAAAAGGAGGTCTGACTGCGTTGACTTTGTTGACTTTGTTGATCTGGTTAGAAAAACGGCGGGCATTGACGTCTGGAAGGCCGAGCTCCAGAAAGCTGTCTCCCAGAGAGACCACGAAGTGGGGGTGAATGTGGGCTCCGACCAGTCCTATCTGGGTAACATGGAGATGGGGCGAGGGGTTTGTGGGGGGAAAGGGTGGTTGGCATTGACGTCTGGAAGGCCGAGCTCCAGAAAGCTGTCTCCCAGAGAGACCACGAACTGGGGGTGCATGTGGGCAGGCAGCTTTCAATGCGTGCTTTGCTGTGGTTGAAGTAATGTTTTGAGACGTCTCAAAACATTACTTCAAACACTGGGGGTGCATGCGGGCAGGCACCTTTCAGTGATTGCTTTGCTTTGCTGTGGTGGTGCCTGCTTGGCGATCAGCGGTGACTTTTGAGTCGACTCAAAAGTCACCTCTGCATGCGGGCAGGCACCTTTCAGTGCTTGCTTTCCTTTGCTGTGGTGGTGCCTGCTTGGCGATCAGCGACTGGTTGTGGTTGAACGTGCCGATCCTTCCCCAGTCTCTCATTAGCATGTGATGTGCTTGCTCATCCCCTTGCAATGATTCTTGCTGCATGCATTCTTCTTCGCTGTGGTGGTACCTGATTGGCGACCAGTGACTCCTGAGGTGACCTTTGAGTCGACTCAAAAGCCACCTCGATTTCAAGTGCAGTGCTTGCTTCGCCGTGGTGGTACCTGGTTGGCGATTAACGACTGGTTGAACGTGCCATTCCTTCCCCAGTCGCCAAACGCAAAGAAACGAACAGGTGCAATGCTGCTGCTGCTGTTCCTGTGGTCGCTGCTGCTGCTGCTATTCGGTGAAAGGGAATGCATGGCTGCTGGTATCTGCATGTGAGGCGGCAGCAGCGGGATCGGCTGCATGGGTGGGTGGTCGTGACTGCGAGGGTGGAGCAGGGTGGAGCGGGGCAGCAGCAGTATGGCGAGCAGGCAGGCACAGAGGGAGACGAGGAGGAGCAAAGGCACCTTCCGAGCAGCGCGAGCGGGGGCCTGCGATGGAGGGAGGGGGGGGGGGGGGTAGACAAGAACTTGTTCTGAAAGTAGTAATCTGCGGCAAAAAAGAAAAGAAAGCTGCTATGAAAGGTTTCCAACAGTTACGAATATAGAGATAAACTTCTGCGAAGTAGAATACATGTAAATCCTCCTAAGAAAGCATTGAACGGCATACACTGTTAAGAGGTTTCGAGGGATTATTAAAAAAAAATGCAACACACAACGGAAAAGACAGATGACACGTAAGCGCAGATAAAAACGGCGAAGACAACGTTAACAGATAAACGGAAAATACATTGCCAATGTTAACGGCGGATATACACTGGCAGATTAATGGGAAATGCGGGACGACATGCACGAATTCCCTTTTTCGGACCCCACTCCCCCCTCCCCTTCCCCCCAACCTCCCCCAGTTTGCTGGCTCCTTTCACCTCTGGAACCCCACAACTATCACGGCAAATGGACGGCATTCAACTGTATGCATCGCTATTCGCAGTGGTTTGAGTCGACTCAAAACACGACTCCTTTCACCTCTGGAACCCCAAAACTATCACGGCAAAGGGACGGCATTCGACTGTATGCATCGAGGTGACTTTTGAGTCGACTCAAAAGTCACAACTATCACGGCAAAGGAACGGCATTTAACTGTATGCATCGCTATTCGCAGCGCAATACCTCGCGACGCGTCAGCAGGGGGTCCGTCAGTGACGATGCCAGCGAGACTGCCACGTGGCGGTCTTCCAGCTCGCGTGACTCGTCGCTGTGTGCATTCATCGCCATGACTCACGATAAGGCAGGCACGCGATAAGTTACTATATTGAGGTACTCGATAAGTTACTTCGCTGAGATGTTTAACCCTTTCAGCAACATTCAGCCACTACGGAACGCAGCCACGAGTGCCGTGGAAACTGGGCAATGTGGGGTACTTTTCGCTTGCTGGGACACAAGCACAACTATAGGCGTTACGTAGCGTGTGCGAATGAGGGACATTAGAACGGCATCAAGGCAAGGCCACGAACGACGGATGTTGCCTGGCTAATGTAGGACTTAGATGCTGCACCTCTCCCTGACGCACCCTAGGAATTGCTGCTGGCTGCTGTTTTCTTGAAGCATATTTTGAGGGAAGCCGGCTGCTGCTGTGGTGGAATTTCCAAGATACCGTTCCTTGGAAATTCCACAGCGCTGAGAGCACTCGATAGCGCGTTCGATCTTCTGTGTGGAGTGCAGAGTCGCATGCCACTTGGGGGTGTTTTTGTCAAAATTCGAACTGTGAGAACGGACAGCGCAGCAGGTTCCCTCTGACACGCACTTGAAAATGAAGCCTGCCGGATGCTCTCCCGGCCGGTGACTTCAGAAATGAGCCCTTCGGAAGAGAGATTCTCGCTGATGACGTGTTTCCCCTTTCCACGGATCTTAACGATAGAGAGTACAGCGCTAAGATGTTGAGCCATGCCTCATACTATTTCAGCAGCACATCATTATGAGCCAAATACTCAAGATGATACTAGGCCCTTGACATAATGTATTTCTCAAGACTCGGAAGGTGTGAAGGATTCCTTGAATATTGATGTTCGGATTTTCACTCCTTCGGCTGTTGCCACCGATGCAGCATACCTGAAAGCAAAAATTATGTTGCGGAGACAAAAACTTACGATCTGGGAAAGTTGGAGAACCAAAACACTCTGAAACATATGAACATACAATGCTCGGGAAATTAGAACACACACATAGAGCTAGGGTGGATATACATACGCTTCGTCGAGGAGAATGCCGTGTGCTGCGACTCCCGGCACAGACTCTATCTGGCGAGCAACATCCCCTGTCGGGTTGATACAGGGAGAATCGTATTCGTAAATGAGAATGGCAAACATTTTTTACTTGAAATTAGCGTCAAAGACGAAATGATCCCCTTCAGCCACCAAAGGGAACTCCTTCCCCAACGGCCCTGCTGTGCCACCCAAACAAGCTCCCAAACAACCGGACACATGCACTCAAAGCCTTCCTTTCAGTCACTCATTTCAGCGATGGGGGTCATGAAAATGACGTCCAACACTAAGTGCCCGCCTTCAATGTCAAGAGGAAACGCCCCTCCAAACAGCCCGCTTAAGCAGTCAGACCCCCATACAAGCACATGACATGACCCCCAACCACTCACTCATGTCAGCGATGGGAGTCGTAAAAATGACGTCCAACACAAAGTGACACCCCTCAGTGACCAAAGGGAACTCCCCCCTCACCCACCCCCCCTCCCTCCCCCAACAGCCCGCTTTAGCAGTCAAACCCCTGTATAAGCACACGTCTCTCAGTCACTCAACTCACTCATATCAGCGATGGGAGTCGTGAAAATGACGTCCAGCACAAAGTGTCCGTTCTCAGTGACCAGCGGAAACTCCCCTCCCAACGGCCCCGCCGTGCCGCTGGTGGGTCGCCGCCACACCTCTGCGTCGCCCAGGAACAAATCATCGATTTCCTCTGCTATGTCCAACCAGTGATCCTGTTGAAAGCCCAAACCGCGGGGAGGGGATGGGAGGGTGGGGGAAGTTGAAGGGGAGACCCTGAGAAAGGAATGAGTGTTGCCACTGGTGGGTCGCCGCCACGTCTCAAAAGTCTCCCAGGAACAGGTTGTCAATCTCCTCTGCAATGTCTAGCCAATTCTTTTGAGACGTCTCAAAAGTCTCCCAGGAACAGGTTGTCAATCTCCTCTGCAATGTCTAGCCAATTCTTTTGAGACGTCTCAAAAGTCTCCCAGGAACAGGTTGTCAATCTCCTCTGCAATGTCTAGCCAATTCTTTTGAGACGTCTCAAAAGTCTCCCAGGAACAGGTTGTCAATCTCCTCTGCAATGTCTAGCCAATTCTCCTGGAGATAGTTTGTGTGCGAAAGAAAGAAGGGGTACGGAAGTGAGTAAGACTGCGGTGGGCCTCAACCACACATCTGCGTCGCAGAAGACGCCTCAAAAGTCTACATCGCCTACAAACAGATCGCAATCTCCTCTGCTATACGTCCAGCCAATTCTCCTGGTGTGCAGGGGAGGGGACGACAGAGAGAGAGAGAGGAGAGGAGAGGGGAAGGAGAGGAGAGGGGAAGAGGAGAGGAGTGGTTGGGATGGGAAGATGGGAGCAAATTGCTAAGGGGTTGAGAGAGTTTCTGGTGGTTGCGACGGGACCATCAAGTTGACTCTTGAGTCGACTAAAAAGTTGGCTTTTGACTTTTGACTTTTGAGGTGACTCAAAAGTCACCTCATTACTTACTCTCATCCATTCCGCCCCTCACCTGCTCGATTTCAACGGGCACTTCCCCATCAATCAGGCCTTCCTCAAAGTGCTTCTCGGGCACAATCACAGTGAAAGTTTCAGCTGCCCGAGCCACAGCCTACTGCAGCAAAAATGGCGGGGAGCATATAAAAAACAGAACAATGCATAGAGGAAAACAAAATAAGGTAAAAGCTGACGCCAAGCTTTCACTGGGACAAGAACTCAGTTAAAAAAGGAAACACGAAGAAAAAAGGGAAAAAAAAAGTGGTTAAAAGGGTCTAGTAGGATTAACCAGCAGATGCATGTGAGAAGGTCAAGTGCACCCACCTTCTCTTTGAGAACAGAACCTCGCTTGGTGGGGATGCGACGGCCAATTATAGAGAAGAGTGTCCCTTCCTGCACCACGTCTGCATCTGTGAAGGCGAAATCGAGCTGAGGAAAGGAGGGGGTAGTCGAAGGGAGTTTGGAGGCAAAAGGAGGGAGACGGGAGAGTGTGGATGATAGAGAAGTGTGTTCTTTCCTGTACCACGTCTGCATCTCTCAAGACGAAATAGAGCTGAGAGGTATGGTTGAGAAAGGGCAAGGGGCAGGGGGGAGGGGGGAAATGAGAAGCAGAGAGAAGAAGAAGGAGAAATGAGAGTGGGGAGATAGATGAGCGTTGAGAGGCGAGGGGAGATGAGATGGGACAGTAGAGATAACAGAAAATTCCCACTAAACCACATTTTCACCTGGCAGGTCAACACTGGGATATGAGGGGAAGGAATAAGGCAGGGAAAGGAATGAAGGCTCATATAATCAAACCAGAAAAGTGTTGAGTAAGAATCAAGGGCCCAATTCGTTACGAGGTAATGCACCTCTGGGTTTGATGCAATGCTTATAAAGGGACTTTTTTATGTGAGAAATTTTTGAATTTGACTAACCTTGGGATGCTCCTCAAGTGTTGACATCACTACTCCTGCTTGCGCGAGCTCTGCTGCTGCTGCTGCCGCGCTGCCATGAGAGGGCTTTTTATGTGAGGGACCTCTGAATGTGACTAAAAAGAAAGGCAGGAATACCTTGGGATGCTCCTCAAGAGTTGACATCACGACTCCTGCTTGCGCGAGCTCTGCTGCTGCCGCTGCCGTGCTGCCATGCAAGCATCAATGCAAGCATCATCACAAGCAAGATCACAAGCATCAATACAGTTATGCAGCACAAATGTAGCTCTTTAGCATACTTACGCGTTAAGGGACAAAACAAGAACAACGGGTTGCTGAGGCCTCATGCGCACGAAGATGTGGGTTCGAACCGCAGCAAGCGGAGTGGTCTCCTCAATGTTCTCAACTAATAACAACGGGTTGCTGAGGCCTCAAAGAGCCACACTTGAGCTCACATGGGAACGGCAATAATATCTCTCAGCGATTTGCTCTTGATTTTGCTAATGAGGTGGGCGACAGCGAGAGAGGAGCCAAAGTGAATGGAAGCAATGAATGGCACATATGAATTTGAACTTACGTAGGAACAGCGATAATATCTCGCAGCGATCCGCTCTGGATCTTGCTGATGAGGTGCGTGACAGCGAGAGAGGAGCCGAAGCCTGACCCCACCCCCACCACCATGCCACTACGGACAAAATCGTCCACCTGAAAACGAAAAGGGAATGAGACGGAAACAAAAAAAGTTTGTGTAAAGTTTCATGGAGAATCATTTGATGTTTCCCATGCAACAGGAGTTTTTATTTAATAGGGAAGGCAAAGGAGTGGGAGGAGATGAGGAACCAAGGGTGGCTGGAAAGGAGAGGGGAACGGAGGGCGAGGGGACGGAAACGGGAGGAGGAGAGGGGGGGAGGGGAGAGCAAGGGGAAAGAGCAGTGAGAGAATGTGGTAGCAGCAGCATGAAGGTGCGTTAAAAGCCGGGGGAATTGAGAGGCGGGGAAGTGACAGAGAAGGTGCGGCAATGATGAATGGCTTGGTGAGGGGAACGGGACAACGGGTGCGGGAGAGAAGAGAGGGGATACTGGCGGGAGACTTCAGCAGCAGCAGCTCGAGAGGAACACGGAACAACGTCTTTTAGGAATACGAGGTTTCTAAGATAATGGTTGCAGCCATAGGGGTAAGAAGTGAAGGTCGTCTGATCGCGTCAACGTCTGTGGTTACAGTGTAACATCTCCTACCTACATTTGCATCTCCCTTTGGATCCTAGCGTTTCGCGGTTAATGGTGCCTCACCAGCTGCCGCGCCGCGCCTTCCAGATTCGACCCCGACCCCGCTCCCCGTGGCGACGCCATCGCAACCACTCCAGTCCTCCTGATTGGCCGACGGCTGCTGACGTGGCTAGCTGATCGCGAGAATGCGGGAACGCGTTGTTGAAGGAATGCGGGTTTTGGGGTAAGCGAAGAGGTTGGGAGCAAGGAGCGGTAAGACGATCCGGCTTTAACGTCGAGCCGCACGAAAGACAATGTTGCGGCCGACATGATGAATATAGCTGTTGCCGGTTTGGCAAGCAAACCGTCAGACGTACGTCAGAGCTGCCAGTAAGATATGGACACCGTACCTGACAAATGGATCAACCTCGGTTAGGGGTATAATGGTGAGGGGCAATGTTCCGATACTGTGTTCTTCACTATTAATTCCAAAATATTGGCCAGGTTCCAAGGAAGATGTACTTACAGCAGCCAACAAATATACATATTTTTGCTTTTGCTTTTCAAACATCTCTCCCTCTTCAGATTTATTTTTTGCTACTATATATATACATTAAGTGCACATACATATTCAGCACAGAAAAACTATGTTGGCTATAGAATGAGCCTCAAACACTGTAACCCAAATTATTGTGGCCATTTATTTGCTTCTGTCTTCGCCGAGCTTGATGGAGAGGCAGTACATGGAGAGCAGGCGCAATTTACCACCCTTCTAAGCGGTACCTTCGTGAGATGCAACAAGTTTTAACCCAGGCAGTCTAACTGGTGGAGCAGCAGCAGCAGCAAAAGCGCTTTCACTGGCAGCAAGCAGTATCGACATCACTACCGTATCAACCATAAACCATTACTCTGAAAACGGCATGGGTGAGAAGGGGTGATGTGGCAGCTGCAGATGCAGCGTGTTCCAACCAGGACGGCCTAATAGATGCGCCAGCTGCAGCAACAACCCCCTTCCACTCTCCACCCTTCAACCCTCCATTCCCAGTCAGGGGATTTGTAAGCTGGGTCTTTCCATCAAAACGGCCATGATAGCAGCTGGCAAGTCACGCGGTAGAGAGGGAGAAACAGGGTCCAAAGCACAGCCCTGTAGGTGTGACAACGGGGATCGGGGTGGGGGAAGGAGGTTGCGGAAGGGTAAGTTGGGCTCTTTTCGTCAGGTAATGGCCATGACAGCAGCTGGCAGATCACGAGGTAGAGGGGGAGTAACAGGGTCCACAGCACAGCCCTGTAGGTGTGACAATAGGGGAGCGCAGTGGGGGAAGAAGGGCGAGTAAGATGGGCAGTAAACTTCAAAGGCATGTTCAAATGGGGTACGGAAATCACACAGGGCTTTGGGTTCAGGGTGAAGGGGCAATGTAGGTACAGGTACAGTAGAAAGGCAGCAACAGAGCAAAAAGCATGTCAGGACAGAGGGGACAGAGAACCAGAGAACAATGGGGCACATTGCAACACACGCCATATCAGGGAACACAACACAAGAGCGGCAGCAACCAAGGAGAAGAAGAAGAAGAAGAACCACTCAGCATATTTTTTTTCTACGGAGGCAGTGTTGAAGAAAAGGAAAAGAAAAGAAAATAGAGAATCAAGTGAACCGAAAAATGGAACGAATCAAATGAACCCTAAGGGAGAGCGAGCAGCACCATGCCTAAATTGCGTCACAAGCTTCCTCTCCTTGGCCTTCTCGTGCCGCTACTGTGCCGAGTTAGGCAGGTACACATCACTGCGCCGCTGCACCCACTGCTCCACAGGCACACATGCCTCCTCAGTCTCAAAGAGCTCCCCCAGACACGCGTTCACCTCTTCTATCCGCTCCCGCATCACCATGTGCGCCCCTGGGAGCGGGATGAACCGCGCTACGGGTGCCAGTCGCTTGGCCACCCTCTCACCCAGGGAGACGTGTGCAACTATGTCGTCCCTGCGGGGAGGAAGAGAGGGGGATAGAGAAGGAGAGTGAACGGTGCAAAGCAAGGCTCTTGGCCACTTCCCGCCCAGGGTGACGCGTCACGCGTCCAACTATGCCGTCCCTGCGAGGAGGAGGCAAGGACGACGAGAGAAAGAGGGGGAGAGAAGCAGGTCAGTCCAGTCCAGGTTAGTGCACGCTTAGCAGGAATTCTGCATTTGCTGGAGCAGCTCTGTGCTTCCTCCTGCACCACCACATGAGTCTCAACCAACAGTGAAAGAAATCGAGCCATTGTTGTCGGGCACTTGGCCCAGAAAAATAAAAAGAAAAATCCTGGAAGGCAGGAAGCAAACAGATAGCAAGATAATCGCTTGGCCACCTCATGAGTTCAAACGGTGTAGAAAAGAGACACTCACACTCCATGTATGACGGCGGTGGGGATGCGAGCGCTGAAGATGCTGTCAACGTTCTCTCGGGTCAGCTTGTGCGTCCAAACGGCGTTGAAATGCCCGCTGGTAGCGTGTGGCGCCTGCAGTGCCCCTGGCGCTGACAGATACTGCACGTACTCCTGCACACACGAGGAGAGCACGATGGGGGACGGGTGGGGTAGACGGTTAGCCCGAGTGCGTCCAGCATATCTGATTGAACTGGCGGAAATGAGTTCAAATGCCCGTTGGCAGGCAGCGTGTGGCGCCTGTATTGCCCCTGGCTCCGAAGATACTGCACGTACTCCTGCACACGGCGAATGCAAGTAATAAGGGAAGTCTGGTGAATAATTTGAGCCAGGTATTGAGACGCTTCAAGGCGGCCCGTCGCCGTCAGTCTTGAGACATCTCAAGACTCGAACGGGTAGTTGGAGAGCCAACAGGAGCCAGTCCGGCATGCACCCCAAGCACGTGTTGCGTTCTGTCGTGTTGCAAGCGAGTAGTTGCAGATGCTAGCATGTGTCACTTCTGAAAACGACACGTGCATCCAAACAGCCAGTGCTAGAGCGCGCGTGCTGCATTGTGTTTAAAGAAGTGTTTTGAGATGCCTCAAAACACTTCTTCAAACGCGCGTGCAGGAATGCGGCACCACCACTAGTGCTTCCGAGCGCTGCATGTGTGTCCACATGCACATGCAATTCATGCTACACTGCTGCTCTGCTCACCAGGTGCAGCAGGTCTTTCTGGGACGAGCTGCCAACCATCTGCTGCATGAACTCCTCTGAGAAGTGCATCACCAGATCCACGCGCGCCCTGGACTCCGGTGTGTGTGCCCCGACGTGAACCACTCACCAGTCACTGCTACTTTGCTGCACTGCTGCGCTGCTGCTCTGCTCACCAGGTGCAGCAGGTCTTTCTGCGATGAGTCGCCAACCACCTGCTGCATGAACTCCTTTGAAAAGTGCATCACCAGATCCACGCGCGCTACCATAGGTCTCTTACAAAGCAAATGCACTGCTGTACTCAACTCACCAGGTGCAGCAGGTCTTTCTGGGACGAGCTGCCTGTCACCAGCTGCTGCATGAACTCCTCAGAGAAGTGCATCACCAGATCCACGCGCGCCCGTGACTCTGGCGTGCGTGCCGTCACCAGCTTCGTACCCACGGAGAAGAACCGTCGGTCGAGCTGGCGTCCAGGGAAGGGCGACGGGAAAGGGACTGTTGAGTGGACACAAAAGTCTCTCCTCTGAGAAGTGCATCACCGGATCCACGCGCGCTCTCGACTAGGGCGTGCGTGCCGTCACCAGTTTCGTACCCACGGAGAAGAACCGTCGGTCAAGCTGGTAACCAGGAACAAGGGAGACGAGGAGGGGAGAACAGAAGGCATTATCAGCAAGCAAGCAGCAAGGTCCCACGTCCCACGTCACCAGTTTCGTACCCACGGAGAAGAACTGTCGGTCAAGCTGGTGTCCAATATCCAGGGACGAGGGATGAGGGAGACAAGGAGGGGAGAACAGAAAGAATGAGCAGCAAGATCCAAACGCGCTCTAGATTCGGGCGTGCGTGCCGTCACCAGCTTCGTGCCCACGGAGAAGAACCGTCGATCAAGCTTGCGTCCAGGAAAGGGGTAATGGGGAAGAATTTGGGATGGGAGAAGAAGAGAGAGAAAGGGAGGGAGAAGGGGAGAGAGAAAGGGAGGGAGAGGTAGAGGAAGACCGATGGGCCATGTGCAGATGGGTCACGTGCAGATGGGTCATGTGCAGATGGGTCATGTGCAGATGGGCCATGTGCAGATGGGTCATGTGCAGATGGGCCATGTGCAGATGTGTCATGTGCAAACGCACTCAAGAGGAACACACCGAACAGGGGCAAGGACGTCACACTCAGATACCATACCCACAGACCAGGTCGCATACCATACCCACATACCAGGTCGCATACCCCACAGACCAGGTCGCATACCCTGGGCAGGATGTCAAAGCCGCCACGGCTGGTGCTGATAAGTGCCATGGATTTCAAGTGCCAGGGCATACCACCACGAGTGGTGGTGATAAGCATACCAGTTTTGTCTCACCAGTTTGCCACAGACCACTGGCATACCCTGGGCAGGATGTCAAAGCCACCACGACTGGAGCTAATAAGCGCCAGGGATTTCACTCGGTGGGGAGCAATGGCAGCTACTTTCGTCGCGATCATGCCTCCCATTGAATGGCCCACCACATGGAATTGTGTCCAGCCAAGGTGATCGGCCAGATGAAGTGCATCCATCGCCATGATCGTAGTTCTGGTGAATATGGAAGAAAGGAGAATGAGCAAAATAAGTGCATCTTGAGTTCCTGAAAGATGGGAGAGAAGAAACAGGCCACGAGGGAGACACTTTGCTGGCTGAAACGATAGAGCTTGGAGGTGTAAGACGAGGGATGAGACAGAACAACTGGCGTGACTGATAGGCTTCTGCTGCTGAGCGACACTTACGCTCTCTTGACCTGAAGCACCAATAGAAAAGACGCACGTGTATGCTTTCTTGTCCGTGGGACACGTGCTCTTGCCAATCCCTCGGTTGTCGAAAGCGCAAACCTCCCTGCCCGTGAGAGACAAATTCTCCTCTTCCTCTTCCTCCTCTTCGTCCTCTTCCTCTTCCTTCTCCTTCGCCCCTCCTCCCGCGTCCCTCTGTTCCTTCCCCCCTTCCTTCAGCCGCAAATCCGCTTGCTCAAGCCCTCCGTCCGTAGCAGCTTGCACATCACTCCGCTCCTCCACACCCTCTTCTGTCACCATGACCAATTTTTTAGGCGCCTCTGAAGCCGCTTGCTCAATCCCTCCGTCCGCAGCAGCTTGCACATCACTCCGCTCCTCCACACCCTCTTCTGTCACCATGACCGATTTTTTAGGTGCCTCTGAAGCCGCTTGCTCAAGCCCTCCGTCCGCAGCAGCTGGCACATCACTCCGCTCCTCCACACCCTCTTCTGTCACCACGACCGATTTTTTAGGCGCCTCTGAAGCCGCTTGCTCAAGCCCTCCGTCCGCAGCAGCTTGCATATCACTCCGCTCCTCCACCCCCTCTGTTGTCACCATAACGGTACAGTCACTGCTTCCATTGCAACTTGATCGGTCGTCCATGCGCCCGACAGGCGCAGCAGCGGCGTCATCACTTGAGCCAGTGGCTGTTGCGGCGGCGGAAGAGAGTTTTTGAGGCGCCTCAAAAACAGCGTCATCACATCCCTTGCAACCTGATCGGTCGTCCATGCGCCCGACAGGTGGAGCAGCGGGGTTGTCACTCGACCTAGTGGCTGTCGCTGCAGCAGAAGGCGCTGCAGCGGAAGTCGATTCAGCAGTGGGTGTGGCTGCTACAGAAGGTGTGGCTGCAACAGAAGGCGCTGCAGCGGAAGTTGATTCAGCAGTGGGTGTGGCTGCTACAGAAGGCGTGGCTGCAACAGAAGGCGCTGCAGCGGAATCTGCTGCAACAGAATCCGTTTTAGGCTTCCTCGATGCCCGTTTGCTGTTAGGAATGTCGGTGCCTGAGAGCGGCTTGATCTGCGGCCACCATGCGTTGTGCATGGCAGCAAAGCCTGCAACGTGTAGCAGATTTAGAAGTGGGGAAGAACAAGCGACACAGATCGGCAGATAAGATCCAGCACATATGAGAACGAAAAAAGGAGCAAGCCATTGAAATGTGTAACCTCAACGTGTCACTGACCCATGATCAACGTGTCGCCTCTGCCATACGTTTCGTAGAACAGTTTCACTTGTCCGTCATCGCTGCATTCTTCCCTTTTCGCACTCGCTCCTTTGTTTCCCTTCGCACTGCTTGCACTTGACGGAATTACACAGTACGGCATCTTGAATGTCGGACGACTTGGAATGGTTGTGTGCTCGCCTGCGCGTTGCGAGAGACACGATGATTAGTTACTTCACAGCGAATCGCGAAGCTGAGTAATCAGTAAACGAACTACCCGATTCGATGCTAAATTTACCAGAATTGAGACTTCGACGCGAAACAGCGGAGGTCGACGCCGAACAGAGAAATTCGACGTCGAAGCTCAAGCTTCCTCGTGAAATCCCACAAGTCGACGCTCAACGGAGAAAGCTCACGTCCAATAGCGAAAATCGACGCCGATAACAGAAATTTCCTCGCGAAATTCCAAGACTCAACGCTGAACGGCGAAGAGCGGCGTTAAATAGCCAACTCTGGCAACTAACAGCGAAATCTGGTCTATTGGCAAGATCGCCGTGAAAACTCGACTGAACTCTCTGGAAAGCGACGAGAACGACGCCTTGATGGCACGGAAAATTGCGAACTGGGAAGCTAGAGTGAGGGAATGGCTGCAAAGCGCGAAGAAGGCAAACTGGAGTGAGGAAAAAACGAGTCGAAATGGTTGCTGGACGAAATGGCTGCTGGAGTGAGGTCCTCCCCTCGCCACAAACCAAACCAACCCCAAGGCTACCGACATTTGCGTCGAGTCGAAAGTCTACAAGAAATCGCAGCCGTTCATCAAAACGAACTTGAACCGCGAAAAAACGCAAACGGCTAAGCGGAAATTCTATGGATTGGTTGATGTTAGTCATGTCAGGAATACTCGAATTCCAATCGTGAAATCTTAGGTCAAAAGTCTGACGACTGGTTGGTATTCGTGTCGGCGGGTTGACAATTTTTAACATGGACACGTAGCGTTGTTGGCTCGGCGGGAAGCAGGGCGAAAGCAGGCGATTAATGGCCAACGAAATGGGTCTCAGGCAACAACGGCGGCGGCAGCCATGGTTAGGGCGTGTCCCAAAAGTACACTTACATTTCATTAGGTGAAAAGTAACCACAAACTGGGTCTTCGCCAACGCCAACCTTTTCGTCTGGACACGGCGCAGCTCTGTAAAAAAATTACTGACTCAATGCTCAACTTGGACTTCGCTTTGTACAGACATCAGAGAAAGCGTACATGAAACAGAAAGAACAGAAAGCGAGAGCTCCATATTCGCTGCATCTCCTTTGGGCGAACTCCATGCTGTCGCAAATTTCTCTGCGACAGTCAATTTGGGGGGTTTTCCCCACGAGTTACACCCATTTCGCGAGGGAAATGGGATTCGCGGCAATGTGGGCCTGGTAACAGGCCGAAAGCTGGACACCAGGTCGCGGCACTGTACAGCCGCGAGACTCTGTCAGCTTTTTCGAATCTGTACGTACCTGGAACGTGTCAGAGGTCCACTGGTGATCCCCGATTGATCCTAGGGAAGGGTTACAGGCATGTTGGCCTGGGGGGTTATGGGCGCGCTGACCCGCTACTTAACAAGCCCTTTTATCCCAGTGGTCTAGTGGTTGGGATTCTGACAGAACGTGTGTGTACTGCGCAGCTGTACATGCTGTTTTACGTAAAACCGGGTCCCGAAACTGCTTACACTTTTTCGGGACACGCCCTTAGGGAGGAAAAGCGGGAGCAAGACCTGATGGGAGCAGATTGGAATTGGAGCAGGCCCTCATATTGGTTTGAGGGTATGCTGATCGATCAGCATGCCCCGGCCGCCCAGGTGTCCAAATCAGCGTTCATGGTTTTTTTTTATACTGATTTTGCCAGTGTAAAAATCATAAGTAGGCTGAACCATCAGTGTAAAAAAGAAAAACAAAGTTGAATCACCAATTCAACTCAAAGTTTGCCGCTGTGAGAGTTCCTTCCAGCGATGCAAAGCACGTCGGCACGCGATCTGCTGTACAGCGCATGGCATCTCCAAGTGTGTGGGTGGGGTCTCGTGAATCCCGGGCCAGGTACATACTATACACACGCATACCCCCCCCCCCCCCCCCCCCCCTCCCCCCCCCCCCCCGAATCGGTCAAGTCCGTTTCAGTGTGACTCACGACACTACACTGATTCGTCAGTGTTACTTCTACAGCAACACGGAAAATGGTCAGTGTGGCAAGGTAGTTTATACCGAAATTTCAGTGCAAAATTGAAGCATATGCTGAATTTCCAGGGAAAACGAAAATCACAGCTACAAAATCAGCCTAATCAGCGTATTTAGAAAGCTTGCTTTCTTGTGTTTGCAATGGCAACGAGCTTCGTTTCAAATGGGCATTACATCATTCTCGTCCGGGATATATATGGTACCTACATTACACATGACAACATGCAATTTTTGCTAGGGTGGGTGGGTGGGAAATAAGACATTTGAAATTTCAAACGAAGACGTGGGTGGAGGCCAAATGGCCTCCACCCCCTGCTATATAGTTGGCGAAGAGCGTCTAGCACTTCGTCGTTGCCATTACTGCATTACAAGCAGCTTCGCTTTCAAAATACACATTTTTAGAAAGTGTTACACACATTAAAAAAAATTCATGTTTTACGCTGATATCTGAGGGCCTGAATTGGAGTCTCCCTCTCGCACCCTCTGACACCTGCAACGGCTACCAGAGCCTCGTCTAGCTAATTGGCTCTCGTTTCGCACACCGACAACAAGGTGAGCTGTAATTGGTCGTGCGTTTCGCTAGTGACACTGCGAAAATCTTTAATCTTTGCGAAGCGGATATTTGGGCTGATGTTACCTCATGTGGTAGGCTTCGGGCTGCGCATATTTGGGGGTTCCGGGGAAGCCTCCGCCAAATCGTGCCGACATTCCTGACAACTGTTGCGTGGCTCTGAAATTACCGACTTGTGTGACCTCTATAAGCTACACCGGCTTTAACCGTATCACTACAAGATATTTTGCTATATAATGATCAGGTTACTAACACTGAACAAACATGCCATACCAACTTAACAAAAACCAGGATTTTCATGGGTGAAAAGGCATGAAGAAGGCAAGGTAAATGTTTGCGGGAGTTATATTGGAAGTTGTTTGACATGTTAAGCCATGTTTACACAATTCCACATAAATTTACTGCAAACCTCCATACAGCGCCAAAAGTGAGTGCACTGCACAGGAACTTTTTGTCCGCACCTCACCACAATCACACATCAAACTCCTTCCTTGCCAAGCTCAGTGCCAGATACCCCCACCACCCAAGGCAACATCCCCTGGAGTGAGCTTGGACTTTAGCGGGTCAGGCAGTTGTGGTGTTGGGGCGTAGAACTTGCCGATGGTAGCCTGGAGAGATAGCACAGGAGGGACGAAGGTTAAACATGAAGAGAAAAGGCAGTGTTGTCCTGACAAGGGAAAGCAAGGGATATGCTGCACGGAGAACACCCCCTGAGGCCTACCATTCTGTAAACAATTCTTCGAAACAATCACCAGCTGACAAGCATCCAATACACCCAGGCAAAAAGAAGAAAAGGAGAAAAAAGAGGCACCTGCGGCAGCATTTCGTGCACGATGGTGAGCATCCAGTCGCCATTGGTGGAGACGATTGCAGCAGTGGGCGGGCGAATGGCTGCCTTGAGTGATGCCAGGGACGGATGGTCCAGGAACGCCGGCTCCATCACCATCCACACATCACGCGCGCGACCACCCCTGCGGGAGCAGAAAGTGGGTTGCAGATGGGAAACCGGAATGGTGTGTGTGAGTGTTCAGCTGGGGGGGGGGGGGGGGGGGGGGGGGCAGCGAACATGAACATGTGCTGACAGCGCTACTTCTCCCAAACATCAACACAAATTTGTTTTCGCGCTACCAAAGGGCGTTTCTAGGGTTGAACGCAGTGCGGGTACCACTAGGAAGGTTGAACGGGAAGGGCTGAAAGGTGTACCTTTGACTTCTCCTGATGCCATCTGCTAGCACCTCCTCTAGCAACGCACCCTTGTCCCTGGCGCCATGTGGGGCAAGAAAGAGAGAGGGAAGGAGGGATGGAGTAAGAGAGAAAAGGAGACGGAGAGAGAGGAGGGATGGAGTGAGGGAGAGAGGGAGTTGGAGAGAGAGAAAAAAGGTGCTGAATGAGAATGGGTTAATGCAGCACAGAGGCTATAACTGAGGGTGACAGGTCGTGTGATAAGAGCAAGCCAGAGCAATCAATGAGCGAAAATGGCCATAGTTTCGGAGGAAAGGGGAAGGCATTACATGAGGCTGTAAGCATTGGCGAGGGCGAAATAATACACCTGCGAGCCAGCCATGCACGGGATTTGAAGAGGAGTGAGAAGCGATTATAAAACAAGAAAAACAGCAGAATTATGGAATGTGGCAGTCAACACACACCAGGGCAGGGAAGTGCAGGGGAACCAAGAGGAGCCCAGGGAAGCCCAGGAAAACCCACACACCTATGATTAGATTCAAACTAGGGAATCCAGAGCACGAAATATAGAGCACGAAATATAGAGCACGAAAAGCACCCGCCACTCACCCGTGGTTTAGACAGATCCAGCATGGGAGGAGCAGGGCGGGCCACTTCTCTCCAGTCCAGCCCCCCAAACGCGCCGCTGTCTTGCTTCTTATTGTCCTTCTTGGATGCGCTGCTCCCTCTCGCCCCGCCTGCGCTTTCCCCAGTCCCCTGTCCCCCTCCGAATCCCGTCCCCGTTGCGCAACACACCCCTCTCCGCCTGCTCCGCCCTTCCCCCCAACTCCGCCCCGCAGAGCTCTCCGCGCTCCCTTGTCTTCCGCGGTTCCCCCGGTCGTCCCCCGAGCTAATGTCGCGGCGGAGAGTAAGAGTAATGTCGTCCCATTTTCCGCCTAGACATCCGCCTGACGCATTCGAAGCGCGCGACTGGAAGAATTGGGAAGGCGGAAATGGCGGTGACGCGGTGTGAGAAGCGGTGAGATGCGGTGAGGCCAGAAGCCGGGGCATGATGGAACGAAAACTGTGGTATTCGAACGAACGGCAAAAGAGTATGAACTGGGAGGAAGATAGAAATGTGAAGAGAGGGGGAGGTGCTCCAAGCGAGGACGCCACGCGAAAGCTTGAGGCAATCAGGCGCGCCGCGCGTGAGTGAATAATAACGCTGGTAGAGAAAGAATGGAAGCGAGAAAGGAAGTGTGCACGGCGATTTGACCCGTGACAGCGAAATCGAGCTGAGAGGTACCGTACGGTTGAAAAAGGGGAAGGGGCGCGGGAGGGAGGGGGAAAAGGGGGAGCAGAGCAGAGGGAAGATGAAGTAGAAAAGAGAGTGGGATATGAGAGGCGACAGTAGAGATAACACAGAAGTCCCTCCGAACCACATTATAACATGTCAGGGCAACACTGACAAACTTTTGAATGTGACTAATAATGGGAGAGAGTACCTTGGGATGCTCCTCAAGGGTTGACATCACAACTCCTGCTTGCTCTGCGGCTGCTGCTGCCGTGCTGCCATGCAAGCATCAATGCAAGCATTATCACAACCATCAATACAGTTATGCAGCACATATGTAGCTCTATAGCATAATTATGCGTGAAGGAACAAAGCAAAAAAAAAAAAAAAAAAAAAAACTTGCTGACGCCTCACAGCGCAATAGTTGAGCTTACGTGGGAACGGCAATAATATCTCGCAGCGATCCGCTCTGGATCTTGCTGATGAGGTGCGTGACTGCGAGAAACGAGCCCAAGTGTGTGGTAGCAATGACACCTCTTAAGGATTCTTAGAAATAATAAACCATGAACTTGAGCTTACGTGGGAACGGCAATAATATCTCGCAGCGATCCGCTCTGGATCTTGCTGATGAGGTGCGTGACTGCGAGAAACGAGCCCAAGTGTGTGGTAGCAATGACACCTCTTAAGGATTCTTAGAAATAATAAACCATGAACTTGAGCTTACGTGGGAACGGCGATAATATCTCGCAGCGATCCGCTCTGGATCTTGCTGATGAGGTGCGTGACTGCAAGAAACGAGCCCAAGTGTGTGGTAGCAATGACACCTCTTAAGGATTCTTAGAAATAATAAACCATGAACTTGAGCTTACGTGGGAACGGCAATAATATCTCGCAGCGATCCGCTCTGGATCTTGCTGATGAGGTGCGTGACTGCGAGAAACGAGCCCAAATGTGTGGTAGCAATGACACCTCTTAAGGATTCTTAGAAATAATAAACCATGAACTTGAGCTTACGTGGGCACGGCGATAATATCTCGCAGCGATCCGCTCTGGATCTTGCTGATGAGGTGGGTGACAGCGAGAGAGGAGCCGAAGCCTGACCCCACCCCCACCACCATGCCACTACGGACAAAATCGTCCACCTGAAAAACGAGAAGGGGATGAGGCAAAACGGCGAGGAAAAAAAAAAAAAAAAAGTGTAGAACTCATTGGCAGTTCATTTGCTGTTTTCCCATTCAGCACGAGTTTTTTCTTCGATAGGAAAGGTAGAGGGAGTGGGAGGAGAAGATTGACCAATGCTGGGTGGCTGGAAAGGAGAGGGGAAGGGGGAGGGCCGAGAAAGCGGAGGAAGAGGGTGGACGCGAAATGCGGGGAGAGGGGGAAGGGAGGGAGAGGGGACGGAAACGGGAGGAGAGGGGGGAAGGGGAGAGCAAGGGAAAAGCGCAGCGAGAGAATGTGGTCGCAGCAGCTTGAAGGAACATTCAAAGGCGGGGGGAGTGAGAGGCGGAGGAAGTGAGAGGAGGGGGAAGTGAGAGGAGGGGGAAGTGATAGAGAAGATGCGGCAATGATGGATGACTGGGTGAAGGGAACGGGACAAGGGGTACGGGAGAGAAGAGAGGGGATACTGGTGGGAGAATGCAGCCGCAGCAGCTCGAGAGGAACAACGTCTTGTAGGAATACGACGGTTTCTAAGTTTTTATTGGAACTGATAGTAGCCGTAGGGGTACGGACGGAGAGAAGGTCGTCTGATCGCGTCAAAGTCTGTGGTTACAGCGTAACATCTCCTACCTACATTTGCATCTCCCATTGGATTTTAACGTCTCGCGGTCAATTGTCCCTTACCAGCTGCCGCGCCGCGTCTTCCAGATTCGACCCCGACCCACGTCCCCGTGGCGACGCCATCGCCACCACTCCAACCCTTCTGATTTGCCGACGGCTGCTGAAGTGGCTAAACGATCGCGAGAATGCGGGAACGCGTGGTTGAAGGAATGCGGGTTTTGGGGTAAGCGAAGAGGCTGGGAGCAATGAGCGGTACGGCGATCCGGCTTTAATGTGGAGCCGCACGAAGGACAACGTTGCGACCGACATGGTGACCAATGCTGCTGTCGGTTTGGCCCGCAAACCGTCAGGCACGCGTTAGAGTTCCGTTTTGAACTCTCTGGGGTTGGTAGGTATGCCCGGCACAGCCGATAACACACATTAGAGTTCTATCTTTTCATCTTGACTATCATATATATGTTGCACACATTTTCAACACTAACAAACTCATGGTTAGCAAAAAACAGTCGAACACCGTGGGCCAGATCATCTTGGCCGTTCATTCACCTCTGCATCCATGGAGCTTGATGGAGAAGCAGTATATGGAGAGCAGGCGAGGTTGACCACCACCCTTATCAGCAGTATCTTCTTCACCATCAATCATGATTCATGAACCATCGCTGGCCTGGGGGAACAGCGGGAGCTAAAAGAGGCGACGTGGCAGCTGCAGGTGCATTGGGCTCCAGCCCAGATGAACTAATCAATGCAGCAGGAACAGCAGCAGAAAAACCCGTCCACTCTCAGCAAGCCGTATCGACGACACTGTCAACCATGATTCAATATAGCGGGAATGGCAGGATCGAGAAGGGCCGATGTGGCAGCTGCAGATGTATCGGGTTCCAATCCAGATGGTCTAATCAATGCAACGGGGGCAGCAGCAGCAATAGCAGCAGCAACAGCAGCAGCAAAACCCCTCCACTCTCAGCAAGACGTATCAACTTCACCGTCAACCATGAACCGTTACCGTATTGTGGGAACGGCATGGGCGAGAAGGGGTGACGTGACAGTGCAGAGGGTTCCCACCGAGTTGACTTTTGAGTTGACTCAAAAGTCAACTCGGCGAGAAGGGGTGACGTGACAGTGCAGAGGATTCCCACTCGAACGGTCGAACCGATGCGTCAGCCGCAGCAACAACCCCCTTCCGCTCGCCACCTTTCAACCTTCCATTCTCATTCAGGAGATTTGTAAGTTGGGCCTTTTTCGTCGGGTAATGGCCATGATAGCAGCTGGCAAATCCCGAGGTAGAGGGGGAGAAACAAGGTACACAGCACAGCCCTGTAGGAGTGACAATAGGGAAGCGGGGTGGGGGGAGAAGGAGCGAGAAATTTGGGCAGGATACTTTGAAGGCATGTTCAGATGGGGTACGGAAATCACAAAGGGCTTTGGGTTCAGGGTGATGGGGCAATGTAGGTACAGGAACAGTAGAAAGACAGCAACAGAGCAAAAAACATGTCAGGACAGAGGGGACAGAGAATCTGAGAACAATGGGGCACATCGCAACACACACCATATCTGGGAACACAACACAAGAGAGACAGCAACCAAGAAGAAGAAGAAAAACCACTCGGCATATTTTTTTCTACTGAGGCAGTTTTGAAGAAAAGGGAAAGAAGAGAAGAGAAAAGAACATAGCAAATCAAGTGAACCCGAAAAGGGAACGAATCAAATGAACCCTAAGGGAGAGTGAGCAGCACCATGGCTGAATTGCGTCACAAGCTTGCTCTCCTCGGCCTTCCCATGCCGCTCCCGCGCCGATTCAGGCAGGTATACATCGCTGCGACGCTGCACCCACTGCTCCACAGATACACATGCCTCTGCGGCTTGAAACAACTCTTCCAGACACGCGTTCACCTCTTCTATCCGCTCTCGCACCAACATGTGCGCCCCTAGAAGCGGGATGAACCGCGCTACGGGTGCCAGGCGCTTGGCCACCTTCTCACCCAGGGAGACGTGTGCAACAATGTCGTCCCTGCAGGGAGGAGGGGAGAAGGGAGCGAGAAGGAAGGGGAGAGAAGCAGGTCAGTCCATGCTAGTGCGCGCTTAGCAGGAATTATGTGTTTGCAAAAGAAATCGAGCCATTATTGTCGGGCACCTAGCAAAAAAAAAAAAAAAAAAAAAAAATCCTGGAAGGCAGACAGCAAGTTTATGGGTTGGCCACCTTATGAGTTCACAGGGCATAGAAAGAGACCCTCACACTCCATGGATTACAGCAGTAGGGAGTTTTGAGACATCTCAATACGCAGACAGACAACAAGTAATGGCTTGGCCATTTTATGAGTTCACACAATATAGAAAGAGACAATCACACCCCATGGATCACGGCGGTGGGGATGCGAGCGCTGAAGATGCTGTCAACGTTCTCTCGGGTCAGCTTGTGCGTTCAAACGGCGTTCAAATGCCCGCTGGTAGCGTGTGGCGCCTGCAGTGCCCCTGGCGCTGACAGATACTGCACGTACTCCTGCAAGCACCAGGAGGGCGGGATGGGGGATGGGTGGAGGGGAAAGGGGAGGTACACGGTTAGCACGAGTGCATCCAGCATGAGTAGGGGTTGCTAGTTGAATCCAAATGCCCACTGGCAGAGTGTGGCGCCTGCTGTGCCCCTGGCTCCAACAGATACAGCACGTACTCGTGAAAGCACAAGGAGGGAGGCACGGAAGATGGGTGCAGGGGAATGAGGAGGTACACGGTTAACACCAGTGGGTCCGGCACGAGTGGAGCTGGCTAGTTGAGTTCAAATGTCCGTTATAAGCGTGTTTTGCGGCGTCTAGTTTTGAGGCGCCTCAAAACTGGAGCTGGCTAGTTGAGTTCAAATGTCCGTTAGAAGCGTGTGGCACCTGCTGTGCCCCTGGCTCCGACAGATACTGCACGTACTCCTGCAAACACAAGGAGGGTGGAAGAACGTAAAAAAGGAAGTTCGACAACTCAGTTGAGTCAGTATTGAGACGCTTCAAGGCGGCCAGTCGCAGAATTGACACGATTCAGTCTTGAGACGTCTCACGACTAAGACGGGTACTTGCAGAGCCAACACGAGCCAGTCCGGTATGCATGTGTCACTTCTAAAAACTGACACGTGCGTGCCTCCAAGCATGTGCTGCGTTCCACCAGCCGCCTGGCAGCATGTGGCGGTTGTGTCTGAGACGCCACGTGTAGATAGGTTATTTTTGAGACATCTCAAAAAGCCAGTGTTGCGTGCATACCTATCTACACGTGCATGCCTCCAAGCATGTGCTGCGTTCCACCAGCCACCTGGCAGCATGTGGCGGTTGTGTCTGAGACGCCACGTGTACATAGGTTATTTTTGAGAACAGTGGCGATTATTTTTGAGACGTCTCAAAAATTACCTATCTACACGTGCATGCCTCCAAGCCAGAGCTGCGTTCCAAGCTGACTTTTGAGTCGACTCAAAAGTCAAGCCAGAGCTGCGTTCCACCAGCCGCCTGGCTGCATGTGGCGGTTGTGTCGTCGCCCCTCAGATTCAGTTCCGGAGTGCACTGCAGTAGTCAGTGCTAGTGCGTGCGTGTTGCAATGCTGCACCACCACCGGTGCTAAACATTGCTGCATGTGTGTCCACATGCTGCAGTGCTGCTCTGCTCACCAGGTGCAACAGGTCTTTCTGGGACGAGCTGCCAACTCCCTGCTGCTGCATGAGCTCCCTCTGAGAAGTGCATCTCTAGGTCCCCATGCGCCCTCATCTCGAGCGTCCTCTACACAGCCGCTCACCAGTCAGTGCTGCAGTGCTGCTCTGCTCACCAGGTGCAGCAGGTCTTTCTGGGACGAGCTGCCAACTCCCTGCTGCTGCATGAGCTCCCTCTGAGAAGTGCATCTCTAGGTCCCCATGCGCCCTCATCTCGAGCATCCTCTACACAGCCGCTCACCAGTCAGTGCTGCAGTGCTGCTCTGCTCGCCAGGTGCAGCAGGTCTTTCTGGGACGAGCTGCCAACTCCCTGCTGCTGCATGAGCTCCCTCTGAGAAGTGCATCTCTAGGTCCCCATGCGCCCTCATCTCGAGCATCCTCTACACAGCCGCTCACCAGTCAGTGCTGCAGTGCTGCTCTGCTCACCAGGTGCAGCAGGTCTTTCTGGGACGAGCTGCCAACTCCCTGCTGCTGCATGAGCTCCCTCTGAGAAGTGCATCTCTAGGTCCCCATGCGCCCTCATCTCGAGCGTCCTCTACACAGCCGCTCACCAGTCAGTGCTGCAGTGCTGCTCTGCTCACCAGGTGCAGCAGGTCTTTCTGGGACGAGCTGCCAACTCCCTGCTGCTGCATGAGCTCCCTCTGAGAAGTGCATCTCTAGGTCCCCATGCGCCCTCATCTCGAGCGTCCTCTACACAGCCGCTCACCAGTCAGTGCTGCAGTGCTGCTCTGCTCACCAGGTGCAGCAGGTCTTTCTGGGACGAGCTGCCAACCACTTACTGCATGAACTTCTCTGAAAAGTGCATCTGTAGGTCCCCATGCACCCTCATCTCGGGTGTCCCTCAATGCAACCGCTCACCAGTCACTGCTACTCTGCTGCTCTGCTCACCAGTTGCAGCAGGTCTTTCTGCGACGAGCTGCCAACCACCTGCTGCATGAACTCCTCCGAAAAGTGCATCACCAGATCCACGCGCGCTCTCGACTCTGGCGTGCGTGCCGTCACCAGTTTCGTACCCACGGAGAAGAACCGTTTGTCGAGCTGGTATCCAGGGATGAGGGAGACGAGGAGGGGAGAACAGAAATGCGTGACACCAAAGTCACTCCTTTGTGAAATGCATGACCAAATCCACGCGCGCTCTGGACTCTGGCGTGCGTGCTGTCACCAGTTTCGTACCCACGGAGAAAAACCGCCGGTCAAGCTGGTTCCAGAAAAGGGGAAATGGAGAAGAATTCGGGACAAGAGAAAGGGGAGGAAGGCTGACAGAATGGGACTTGCGCAGATTGTTTATGTGCTGCAGATGGGTCATGTGCAGAAGCACTCAAGAGGAACACACAGAACAGGGGCAAGGACGTAAAAAAATACTCGCATACCGTACTCAAGGTCGCATACCGTACTCAAGGTCGCATACCGTACTCAAGGTCGCATACCGTACTCAAGGTCGCATACCGTACTCAAGGTCGCATACCGTACTCAAGGTCGCATACCGTACTCAAGGTCGCATACCGTACTCAAGGTCGCATACCGTACTCAAGGTCGCATACCGTACTCAAGGTCGCATACCGTACTCAAGGTCGCATACCGTACTCAAGGTCGCATACCGTACTCAAGGTCCCATACCGTACTCAAGGTCCCATACCATACTCAAGGTCGCATACCATACTCAATGTCGCATACCATACTCAAGGTCGCATACCGTACTCAAGGTCGCATACCGTACTCAAGGTCCCATACCATTACTCAAGGTCGCATACCATACTCAAGGTCGCATACCATACTCAAGGTCGCATACCGTACTCAAGGTCGCATACCCTGGGCAGGATGTCAAAGCCGCCAAGGCTGGTGCTGATAAGCGCCAGAGGTGTCAAGTTTTGGATCGACCCAACGCCGATGCCACAGAAGACTTGCAAATCAGTTTGTCAGCTGCTTACCCTGGGCAGGATGTCGAAGCCGCCACGACTGGTGCTGATAAGCGCCAGGGATATCACTCGGTGGGGAGCGATGGCAGCCACTTTGGTGGCGATCATGCCTCCCATTGAATGCCCCACCACGTGGAATTTCGTCCAGCCGAGATGATCCGCTAGATGCAGCGCATCCATCGCCATTATTGTAGTCCTGATGGTTAGGGACGCGGGGAGAATGGGCAGGAAACACCTTGAGTTGGTTCAACAGAAATGATGAAAATGATTTGCGGAGAGGAGAGGGCGAACGGCGGGAGGGAAGAAAATGGGCGCGAGTGAGACACTTTGTCTGCTGCAAAGACAGTGCCTGGACGTGTAACGAGGTGACTTTTGAGTCGACAGGGTGTTTTTTAGAATTCTCAAAAACACCCTTCAACAGTTCCTGGAGGTGTAACGAGTCGACTCAAAAGTCACCTAATGAGACACTTTGTCTGCTGCAAAGACAGTGCCTGGAGGTGTAACCTGCCGGACGAGATCTACGACTGCCCTAACCAATAAGCCTCTGCTGTTTAAATAATCACTATGTCCTTATGCCACAAAGCAACAATAGAAAATACGCACGTGCATGCTTTCTTGTCCGTGGGGCATGTGCTCTTGCCAATTCCTCGGTTGTCAAACACGCATACCTCCCTGCCCGTGAGAATCAGATCCTCTTCTTCCTCTTCCTCCGCTTCCTCTTTCCCTTCCTCTTCCTCCTCTTCCTTTTCCCCATCACCTCCTTTCGCTTCCCTCAGTTCCTCCCCCCCTTCTCCCAGCCGCAAAGCCGCTTGCTCAAGCCCACCGTCCGACACAGCTTGCACATCTCCCCGCTCCTCTACCCCCTCTACTGTCACATTCACTGTACAGTCACCACTTCCATTGCATCTAGACCGGTCGGCCATGCACACTGCAGGAGGGGCGGCGCGTTGTCATCCGAGCCAGCGGCTGGTGCTGCAGCGGAAGGATAAGGTGGTGCAGCGGAGGGAGACGGCGGTGCAGCGGAAGGAGAAGGCGGTGCAGCGGAAGGAGAAGGCGGTGCAGCGGAAGGAGAAGGCGGTGCAGCAGAGAGAGAAGGCGGTGCAGCAGAGAGAGAAGGCGGTGCAGCAGAACGTGCTGCATCGGAAGGTGCTGCATCAGGAGGCGCTGCAGCGGAAGGTGCTGCATCGGAAGGTGCTGCATCAGGAGGCGCTGCAGCGGAAGGCTCTGCAACGGAAGGTGCTGCAGTGGAAGGTGCTGCAACAGAATTCGTCTTAAACTTCCTCGATGTCCGTTTGCTGTTAGGGATGTCGGTGCCTGAAAGCGGCTTGATCTGCGGCCACCACGCGTTGTGCATGGCAGCAAAGCCTGCAATGCGTAGCGTATTCAGAAGACAGGAAGACACGCGACACTGATTGACAGAAAAGAGCCACATGAAAACAAAAAAGGAACAGGCCATTGAAATGTGTAATGAAATTATTATTTTGTATTGCCAGGATCTCAGCGTGTCACTTACCCATTATCATGAGCACTTTCGTGTCGCCTCTGCCATACGTTTCGTAGAACAGTTTCACTTGTCCGTCATCGCTGCATTCTTCCCTTTTCGCACTCGCTCCGTTGTTTCTCTTCCCATCGCTTGCATTTGACGGAATCATACAGTACGGCATCTTGAGTGCTTTTATCCGCTTTTGTTGTTTCTACTGCTTCTGCTGCATTGGGTTACGCTATAATCCGAGAGTAAAAAAGGATCACGAAAGACGAGTAGCTGAGAGGAAGCTTCGAAAACATGAAAGACTGTGGAAACAACTCGACTGTACAATAACAGCAGCTGGGTACTATCACGGAACGGGTCGGTGTGGCACGGGGTATCTGTGGCACGGGGTCGATGATTACGGACAGCGTTCAGGCTTTTGTACTAGCTAGCGCTGTGCAAGCGGAAACTCCCGAGAAAGTCCAGTGAGGAACTAGACTTTCAAGTGATTCGATATGTCATGCTCGAGTTTGTCAACAGGACTGGACGAAATATATAGGCTGGAATAATGCTTAGAGGAGTGAGTTTGGTGAGTGTTGGCGGCTGGGTCAGCGGCGGGGGAGCGACGGAATCGCTGGTGGCGGTGAGGGAGGTGCCGACAGCAGAAGGGATACGGAACGGAAGTCAGGGTTGTTATCCCCGTCTACACAATCCCGTCAGGGTGGTGCTGATTTACCGGTACATTGAAATAAACTCAAATCATTATATTGATTCTATACAGGGTCCACACCACACACATTGTAAGAAAACACAAAACTCTATGTTAGGATAGTGGGCCAAATTTTCTTGGCCGTTTATTTGCCTCAGAATCCATCGAGCTTGATGGAGAGGCAGTATGAGGAGAGCAGCCGCAATTGGCCACTCGTATATCAGGTAGCATCATTGTCATTGTCAACCATGAACCGTTATTGTGGGTGTGGGAGGGGCGAGGAGGGTCGAGATGGCAGCTGCAGATGCACTGGCCTCCAACCCAGACGGTCTAATTGACGCAACAGCGGCAGCAGGAACACCCCTCCACTCTCAGCAAACAGTACTGTCGTCAGCATCAGCCATGAACTGTTATTGTGGGAACTGCAGGAGCGAGAAGGGGCGACATGTCAGCTGCAGATGCATCAGCCTCCAACCCAGACAGTCGAACCGATGCAGCAGCAGCAGCAGCAGCGGCAGCAGAAAACCCTCTCCATTCTCCACCCTTTAACCCTCCGCCGTTCCCAAGCTCTCCATACTTCTGATCACCGTTTCCTAGGAAGCTAGCGCCCCAGGGTGGGCAGCAGCAGCGCAGCGATGCAGATTCTGCTTCATTAATCTCATCAAGTCCCGATTCCACATCATTCATGTTGGAATCATCACTCTGAGATCTGTAAGCTGGGCTCTTTTCGTCGGGTACTGGCCACGATAGCAGCTGGCAGATCACGAGGTACAGGGGGAGAAACAGGGTCCACAGCAGAGCCCTGTAGGTGTGGCGAGGGGGACGGGTGAAAGGGGAAATAGGTGGAAGGGAAGACGGGGGGTGAGGAAGGGTATCGTTGCGGGCATGCTAAAGACGGTGTAAGAAGGAAAGAGGGAATGGAAACATACAAGGGCAGAGATGGGCAGAGAACAGCGGACGTACAGGAAACAACACCACAGCATCAATATGGAGCACATGAGAGAGGGAAAAAAAAAAAAAAAACTGAGGGAGACTGTGCAGCACCGTGCCTGAATTGCGCCGCAAGAGTCTTCTTCTTGGCCTTCTCATGCTGCTCGCGTGCCGAGCCAGGCAGGTCCAAATCACTACGACTCCGCACCCACTGCTCCACAGGCACGCGAGCCTCCCCGGCATCAAAGAGCTCCTCCAGACACGCGTTCACCTCGTGCGTGCGCTCCCGCACCACCATGTGCGCCCCTAGGAGTGGGATGAACCGGGCCACGGATGCCAGGCGCTTGGCGACGCGCTCACCCAGGGAGACGTGTGCTATGATGTCATCCCTGCAGGAAGGAAGAGAGAGGGAATAGGGAGGAACAGAGAAGGTGAGGGAACCGGAAAAGCTGAAGGCCACTGCTGGTGTGTGTGTGTGCAATGCGCGTGGGTGTGATGCGTGAAAAAAACAACAAATGCAGCATCTCAGACTCTCACGGCATAGCAGAGAGTTACTCACACTCCATGGATCACGGCAGTAGGGATGCGAGCGCTGCAGATGCTGTCAATATTGTCCCGGGTCAGCTTGTGGGTCCAGCACGCGTTGAAATGCCCGCTCGCAGCGTGCGGTGGCTGCATTGCCCCTGGCTCCGACAGAATCTGCACGTACTCCTGCAAGCACGAGAGAGACAGATGGAAGGAGAAGTAGCAGTCACAGGGTCAAGGCTTGAACACGCGGCCACAGAGCTAACAACACGAGTCGATTTTTGGGAACGTCTGCGTCACGCATCAAAACTCCGTAAATGGGCAGCCAAAGGTTCTATACGAGAGTGCTGCCGCAGCAGCCAGTGTTGCAACGCTGCTCTGCTCACCACGTGCAGGAGGTCCCTCCGCGACGAGCTGCCAGCCACCTCGTCCATGAACTCCCGCGAGAAGTGCGTGTCCAGGTCCACGTGCGCCCTCATCTCGGGCGTACGCGCCTTCATCATCCTCACTCCCACCGAGAAGAGCCGGCTGTCAAGCTGGTTACCAGGACGGAGAAATACGCAGGGGAACAGAAGTGAGCAACAAGGTCCAAGTGTGCTCCAAATTGAGTTCAAGAAAGCCGCCACATGTGTAACACGCATGCATTCACACGTGCAGCACTGACAGAATGGGCCTTGTGCACAAAAGCACTTGAGAGCATCACACGGAGCACCGACCAGGTCGCATACCCTGGGTAAGAGGTCGAAGCCGCCACCGCTGACGCTGATAAGCGCCAGGGATTTCACTCGGTGGGGAGCGGTGGCAGCCACTTTGCTGGCGATCATACCGCCCATGGAATGGCCAACAAGGTGGAAATGCGTCCAGCCGAGGTGATCCGCCAGATGCAGTGCATCCATCGCCATGATCGCAGTTCTGATGGTTACAGCAAAGGGGAAAGGAAATAGGTGTATGTTAAGTTGACGTTGATGACATCAGATGCAATGCATCCGTTGCCAGGATGAGTGCGGAGGAGGGGAGAAGGAAATGGCTCAGCATTAGAAAATACGCACGTGTACGCATTCTTGTCGGTGGGACACGTGCTGTTGCCAATCCCTCGGTTGTCGAAAACGCAAACCTCCCTTCCCGTGAGAATCAAGTCCTCCTCCTCTGCGCCTCCTTCCGCTTCTCTCTGCTCCTTCCCCGCTTCCTCCAGCCGCAAAGCCTCGACAGCTTGCACGTCTCCCCGCTCGTCCACCCCTTCTATTGTCACCGCAACCGCGCAGGCACCATTTTCCGTGCATCCAGACCGGTTGTCCATGCGCATGGCGGGAGGAGCGGCGGAATTGTCGTCGGAGCCGGTGGCTGGCGCAGCAGCGGATTCCGCTTTAGGCTGCTTGGACATACGTTTGCTGTTGGGGATGTCGGTGCCGGAAAGCGGCTTGATCTGCGGCGCCCATGCAATGTGTGAGGCAGCAAAGCCTGCAAGGGGAAGCAAATTCAGAAAATAGGAAGAATAGATGAGGTTGACTGTCCGAGAATAATCAGCACTCCACAGACTTCAAAACAGAATAGAAACAACCATAACATGTGTTATGAATCTCGAATTTCGTGTTGCGCGCCTCGGCGTGTCACTTACCCATGATCATGAGCACTTTCGTGTCGCCTCTGCCATAGGTCTCATAGAACAGTTTTACTTGTCCGTCATCGCTGCTTTCTGCTCTTTTCGCACTCGCTCCGTTGTTTCCCTTCCCACTGGTTGCATTTGACGGAATCACACAGTACGGCATCTTGAGTGCCGGTACGCTTTTGCTGTTTCTGCAGTTTTTGCTGCACTCGGTTACACTTTTTGAGGACCAAGAAGGAACGAAAATAGCTGAGAGGAACAACAGATGCGCGGAAGCTTCTCGGAAAAACGAAAGACTATGAAAAGAACTTGCTGTAGAACTGCCACGGCAAGGGCTGCTGATTAAGAACAGCGTCCCCAAGCTCTGTTTGTACTAACTAGCGCGGAGCAAGCGGATACTACCAAGGAGTCCAATGAGGAACTAGACTTCCTGTAATTTGGTGTGGCTTGCTTGATTTTATCAAAACCGGGGGGATTATAGGCTGCAATAATGGTGAAATCGAGAAAGTCGAGTTGAGTGGTTTATATGTGCCGTGGATTCTCTCCCTACCAACCGAATGCCGCGGAAGAAGGCGGACATTTACAGCCTGGTTTCAACTGGTTGTGCTGCTGCGAGGAGGTTCGCGTGACGAGCGCGGAAGAGAGGGAGCGCGGGAACGGGGGAAACTGGTGAGTGCTGGCGGGGACTGACGAGATTGCTGGCGGGGGCGATGATGAGAGGCGCTGACATTCAACGGTTCCGCTTGCCCCGCTCAACCTGGTTCGCCAGAAACATACCTTGCAAGGTATGTTAGGGATGGCTTGGTATGAAGAGCTGGGTTTGATAGCTCGCGTCTCAAATGGTGAAAAAAACACTGCGAACTCCCAAACAGGTTTGGCCAAAACAAACCAGGGTGTGCAGGGTTGGGTGGAAGACGAGCCTTGGGGGACAGGTTTGGCCCCGCTTACTGTCAGAGTTGAGAGTTCACAGTCTCAAATTTCCGAGATTGTAAATGCTTGGTGTTCGCGGGGAAGTGTGCGACGCGATTTCCCAACCAACCTTACCAACCACCCCTTACCTTGGTGTGCTGTGCGACAAACTCTGCTGTTACCGGATTCCAACCGTTTAACACTTGGTTGGATGGCATAAATATGAGACGCGAGCTTTAAGCCTTTTTAACGTACGGTTGTGTGGTTTGGTAACGACGGAATGTGGATGGAGCTTTATTGCCTTGGGATTGGCGCGAGAGACGCTTCGAAGCTGATTGGCTAATGAACCTGACCAAGTTGAACGCGTCCCGCCAGACCTCATTGGCTGGGCAGGGGAAGAGCCTTGTTGATGACGGGAGAATTCGTAATTCTCAAGGAGCCGGCCGAACCGCCATGCCCCTCCTTCGCACTGCCTGCAGTGACCGAGCGAATTCTCCGACAACCGATTTTCCGACCAAGGGGGGGAAAACTGGCTCGGCAGCGTCAACAAGTTGGCATGGCAGTCGTTTGGAAGGTGCGGTAAAGCGTTTGCCAGACGTTAGAGAGTCGTCGACTCATGCGGCGGGGATCAGTCGATGGGCATGCGGCGGTGTGCGACGCTGCTGCTTCTGGGAGCCTCGGCCTCGGGTTCATCGAAAGGTCCACGAAAGTTTTGCTGCCCCGAAGGGAATCGGACGCGCTACCATGCCATTCTCCTATGAAGTCCTGACAAAATGGGCAGAGTAGAGTTCCTTCAACTTGGCGGGCTTCGGCAAAGATGTGGTACAGTGTTGTTAGACCGACTCTTCTGGAGGACCACCACCATCGAGCATGTGAAACTTACAAGTGCATGCATACGTCTAGTGCTGCACAGAATCAAACATTCATCAAGGTGAATGCCCTGCCCTACTTGACGACTGTCGTATGTGCTTGACTTCAGCAATATTGGCGCAAGAGTCCTGGTGCTCAGCCCACCCAATACTCGCCAAAGCAGCAAACTCGATATATATTGTAGGTAATGAGGCCGTTTCATCAACATCCTCTACATGTAGGTCATTTGAGGATTTTTTTTTCAGCAGCTAACATGTTGACAAGATTTAGACTCCGCATAATTGTACAACGAAGTTACAATAAATTCATGCTTCATTAGCGCACGGCAAGTGCGGTCCATACATTGCTACCTCCAAAGAAACTTTGTAAAACACTTTCCTCAAAGCAGGCAAAAAGATGGTCATGACGAGCTTGGTGGAACATATCTCGGGGCAATGGAGTAAATAAATTCCTTCTCTACAGACACATGCTTCGAAGCTCTCTTCTTCACACCAGCCGGTTGCACTCTACCCGCTGCCGCCGCAGCAAAGGCACCCGATCCAGCTCCCCTCGAAGCAGCAGCGGCAGCCGCTGCACCACCTGCCGAACCTGCTGACCCTGCCGAACCTGCTTGGTGTGGCGCTGAGGGGTCATGTGTGAGGCACTTGATGCGGATCTGATTCTTCTCCATGAGCCACCGCAGCATGAGCTTCATGTGCCGCTTGCTCTTCACCCCCGCCTCCTGGTGATGAGGGATGTGAGGTTGATGGGGGGCCCAGAAGGGGGAGGGGAAGACAGGGTAGAGCGAAGAGAGTACGGTATGAGACCTGTCATGTGCGAGGAACTTGACTGATTAAACCCCAGATTTATTTCCCCTGAGTCACTGCAGCATGTGCCTCATGTGCCGCTTGCTCTTCACCCCCGCCTCCTGTTGTTGGGGGATGTGAGGTTGATGGGGGGGCCAAGAGGGGGAGCGGGAGACAGGGTAGGGAGAAGAGAGTGTGACACCGGTCACGTGCGGGGGCACTTGACTGATTAAACCACGGAATTATTTTGCCTGAGCCACCACACCGCAGCATGAGCATCATGTGCCGCTTGCTCTTTACGCCCACCTCCTGGTGACGACAGATGTGAGGTTGATGGGGAGAGGCGAGAGGGGGAAGGGGAGACAGGGTATGGAGAAAAGAATATGACACTGGTCATGTGGGGGCACTTGACTGGTTTATTCTTCAAGATTGATTTTCCTTTAGCCATTGCAGCATGAGCTTCATGTGACACTTGCTCTTCAACCCCACCCCCTCCCCCCCTCCCACCCCCCTCTCTCCTGATGACAAGGGATGAGAGGGTGTTGGGAGGATGGAGAAGGACACGTGGGGATGGCAAATAGAAGGAACTTGATTGATTTAGGTACATAATGGTTATCCTTGAGCCACTGCAGCATGAGATTCATGTGTCGTTTGCTCTACACCCCCGCCTCCTAGTTTAAAGGGACGAGACAGTGTTGAGGGGAGGGGGGGGGGGGAAGAGGAGGTAAATGTGGGATGGCAAAGGTCGACTGAAAGGCACTTCAACGATCTGGGTACAAAAATAAACTTCCATGAGCCACAGCAGCATGAGTTTCATGGGCTGCTTGCTTTTCATGCCCACCTCCTAGTAAGGATTAGTGGGATGTGAGGGTGATGGAAAGTGGAGGAAGATGAGAAAAGAGGATGGATACCCGGCGGGATGGATGAGGCGCTTGATTGATTGAGAGAAAAAGAAAATGTTTCCTTTTGAGTCATACTAGGGGTTGAACAAGCGATTTGATCAATGTGCGAACGTGGGTGGAAAGGTGCAGGGAAAGAAGACGTAGCATTAGAACTGCAGGAGGAAAAAGGGAAGGAAGGAGAAACATAACAAGGAAATGGGTATTGCAGGGGATTGGGCAGCCTTTGCCTGGCATCCCAACATACGACCCGAGATCCTGACTCCCTTGACTAATCCCTTCAAACCACTTTTGTTCAGAACCTTTGTGCTGAAACCCCTTGTAACAGCGCCTTCCCCTAGAACCCACCCCTTCTCCCTTCCCTTCCCTTCTCCATTCTCCCTCATACTGCACCCTCACTACCCCTCTCCACCACTTCCTCTTGCATACCCCTTCCGCTTCCCAAGCGGAAACAAACTTCTCGATCGAGCCCTGAGCACGCTCGAGCCGGCATTTTCCTAGACACCCATCTCATTTCTATCGGCCACTGTCAATCCTTACTGTCTGCACTGTGGATCACACTCCTTCTAACATTTTTGCTTTCGTTCTCTTGCGATTGTGATCCGGTTTACTATACTCGGGGTCGAGCTGACCATTTGTCATACCCGTTATTTACGAATTCGCTAAACCATTTATTCATAGAATCAGCGCAATCTTGGAACACATCTCCCTGCCTTGCCATCCCACGATCGTATACCTCTCACGAAAAAACGCATGAACTGACACAGCACGTTCCTATTACCTCCGCGTGCGTCCATAGAACGTTCTTGTTGCACGGTCCGTGCTCCTTTACTATCCGAAGAATCACCGCCGCTGATCCCTTCTCCGCCGCCTCGCCCACGTGCGTCTGACGGGCCGCGAGGCGCAGCCACGTGGCGAACATCGGTAAGTGGAGAGCAGCGACGCGGCGTCACGTGGCAAACCTTTAGTGGTGGTGAGCAGCTAAGAGGAGATGATAATATTCGCCAACGACAATGGAATTAGGGATTTGAAGCCGGCCGATGGTCGTAACGCGAGGAGGGAGCGGAAGATGCGGGAGGGGGATGCAAGCGGAAATGAGGGGCGGAAGAGCGGGGCGGATAGGGGGGTGCGGAAGTGGGGGGCGGAATAGGTGGGCGGAGAATGCGCTGTTGCGGGTTGTGCGAGGATGATGCGTTGGGGGAGGAAGGAGGTGCTAATGACAACCACGTACGCGTTGTTGCGTCGAGCGTAACGATGATTATACTTCACACCAGCATACTTTTTGCTAATTGTTTACTCAGAATGACAAGCTCCCTATTATCCATAAATCGTCAGAATACACATCAAAGCAGTCAGTCATCCAACAAATGGGCATACGAATCAAAGTCTGCAAAAGGGCTACTAGACAAACCCCCTTTCATCTTTCCGCCACGGCTCTTCTTGTCCGCTTTCTTGACTTTCTCCTCGGCAGCATCAACCGCCACTTCCCCTTTCCGCTGCTTCTTGGAAGGCTTCCCCACATTCTCATGATTATCACTCTGAATATATGTTGCTCTCTTGCTCCCTCCCCTCTTCACATTCTCCGGTGCACGCTCCTTCTTTGCCTTCCCACTGCTGCCTCCCTTCCTCGAGCTTGGCTTAGTTGCTACCTCCTCCAGTTCCTCCTCCTCACCTTCTCCCTCCTCCTCTCCCGCCCCCTCCCCCTTGCCTTCATCCTCATCCTCATCCTCATCCTCCTCCTCCTCCTCCTCCTCCTCCTCCTCCTCCTCCTCCTCCTCCTCCTCCTCCTCCTCCTCCTCCTCCTCCTCCTCCTCCTCCTCCTCCTCCTCCAACTCTGCCTCCTCTTCCTCCTCATCCCCAACAGCATCCTCCCCAGCCAAATCATCCATGTCATCATAATCAAACTCAAAGCCCCCATCCCCTTCCTCCTCTTCTTCCTCCTCCTCATCATCCTCCCCCCCACCCTCTTCTCCCTCACTCAAATCGCTCCCCCCATCGCCTCCCTCCTCCTCCATCCAGTTCTTGATCGCCTCGTCAGCAGCCTCATCATCATCCGAAACTTCCAGGAACCCTCCCCCTGCGAACCCAGCCCCTTCCTCTCCCTCATCCTCCTCTTCCTCCTCCTCTTCCCCTTCTTCCTCTTCTTCCTCCCCCCCCTCACCCCCCTCCTCCAAATCCTCCCTCATATCACCATCCTCTGCGATCTTCATATCTACATCCAATCCCTCCTCATCCTCCTCCCTTCTCTTTCCCCAACCCTCTCCCCCCTTCTTCTCCCCCTTATTCCATCTCGACCCCAACTCCCCTTGCATCGCATAAAACTGATGGAAAAACGCATCATGCGCCTGAACCTGCCCCTTCCCCCCATCCTTCACAAACCCCACGCTTCTCCTCCCCCCTGCCGCCGCCACCGCAGCAGCAGAAGCAGCATTCTCCCTACCCGCAGCTTTCATTCTCATCTGCTGCTTCTCAGCAAACCGGTCGAGGAAGGCGGAGAGGGAGAGGTCCTGGATGGGGTCGCCTGTGAAGGAGGCGGGTTCGCCTGAGAGCAGGGAGGTGGCGAGGCGAGACACTGTGGGGTGCACGTGCGCTGCCAATGCTGCCAGCTCCCACCAGCAGGCACGATCCGCATGGCTGGAAGAGGTGGAGGAGGGAGGGATGGGAAGGTGGGGAAGTGGAGAGGGGAAGCAGGAGAGTTGAAGGGGAAAAGGAGGAGAGTGAGGAAGGCGGAGAGGGAGAGGTCCTGGATGGGGTCGCCTGTGAAAGAGGCGGGTTCGCCTGAGAGGAGCGAGGTGGCGAGGCGAGACACTGTGGGGTGCACGTGCGCTGCCAATGCTGCCAGCTCCCACCAGCAGGCGCGATCCGCATGGCTGGAAGAGGTGGAGGAGGGAGGGATGGGAAGGTGGGGAAGTGGAGAGGGGAAGCAGGAGAGTTGAAGGGGAAAAGGAGGAAACGGGAGTAAGAGAAAGGCGGAGAGGGAGAGGTCCTGGATGGGGTCGCCTGTGAAGGAGGCGGGTTCGCCTGAGAGAAGGGAGGCGGCGAGGCGAGACACTGTGGGGTGCACGTGCGCTGCCAATGCTGCCAGCTCCCACCAGCACGCGCGATCCGCATGGCTGGAAGGGGGGGAGGAGGGATGGATGGGAAGGTGGGGAAGGGGAGGGGGGAAGCAGGGGAAATAGGGGTAAAGGAGGAGAGTGAGGAAGGCGGAGAGGGAGAGGTCCTGGATGGGGTCGCCTGTGAAAGAGGCGGGTTCGCCTGAGAGGAGCGAGGTGGCGAGGCGAGACACTGTGGGGTGCACGTGCGCTGCCAATGCTGCCAGCTCCCACCAGCAGGCGCGATCCGCATGGCTGGAGGGAGTGGGGAGGAGGGAGGGGTTGATGGGGCAGGAGCAGGGGCGTAAGGTGGGGGAAGGGAAGGGCGGGTGCGGGGGAAAAGGTGGGGGGAAAATGGGAGTAAGAGGAAGGCGAAGAGAGGGAGAGGTCCTGGATGGGTTGCCTGTAAAAGAGGGAGAGAAAGGCGAAGAGGGAAAAGTAAGCTTACTTCTCTGAACACGTTTATTCACTAGAGATGGGAAGATGTTTATAGGGTAGTGTCACACCCATACTACTCACTAAAGAGCCATCCCCCTATCTACTATCATAGAGTCACACCCCCATATAATCATCACAGAGCCAACCCCCAGTATACTTACCACAGGGACGGCTCCCTTTGCTTTGGATCGTATGTTCCCTCCCTCCTCTTTCTCCCATCTTCGTCCTCTTCCTCATCTCCCTCCTCGCCTCCTCCTTTCCCTTGCACCTTCTTCCCCTCAACCCCATCCTCGTTACTAGCTGCTTCCTTATCCACGTCCACAAAATGCTCCACGTCGTCTGTATTTGCTTCTGGTTCTAAGATAGCACTCCTGTTAAGAAAAAACAAAAGAAGCACACATAAATACAAATTACGCACAGGAAAACAGTTTCGATTTGATCTTCTGAGATGGCAAGGGTTGTTCTCAAAGGCATCGAACACAACAAACGAAACAGCTGCAACAAGATGCAAAAAGATGCAACAAGACAACAAATGCACCACAGGCAACAAAGGCGACACATGCAGCACTGAAACTTCGGACTCGACAAGTAAAGCAGAGCAGGACGCCAGCATCGGCTCCTCACCACAGCAAGTACTCATCCTCACGAGTTCAAGTCTAACTCACACCACAGCATGGAGCATGGGCCCATACTCACCAGTGTGGGCTCTTCCATACAACACCATCCTCCCTTTCCTCACCACAGCATGGGGCGCAGCTTGGGCTCTTCCATACAACACCATCCACCATACGCAGCTTCAGGACTTCGGAGATAAGCAGCAGAGCGCCACACGCAAAGGTGGCCTGCTGCTGCAGCGCCCGCCACCACTTGGCTTCTCAGGCACCTCACGAACTGTGGCCTTACCAGTACACGAACTGTGGCCTTACCAGTACACGAACTGTGGCCTTACCAGTACACGAACTGTGGCCTTACCAGTACACGCACTGTGGCCTTACCAGTACACGCACTGTGGCCTTACCAGTACACGCACTGTGGCCTTACCAGTACACGCACTGTGGCCTTACCAGTACACGCACTGTGGCCTTACCAGTACACGCACTGTGGCCTTACCAGTACACGCACTGTGGCCTTACCAGTACACGCACTGTGGCCTTACCAGTACACGCACTGTGGCCTTACCAGTACACGCACTGTGGCCTTACCAGTACACGCACTGTGGCCTTACCAGTACATGCACTGTGGCCTTACCAGTACACGCACTGTGGCCTTACCAGTACATGCACTGTGGCCTTACCAGTACATGCACTGTGGCCTTACCAGTACATGCACTGTGGCCTTACCAGTACATGCACTGTGGCCTTACCAGTACATGCACTGTGGCCTTGCCAGTACACGCGCTGTCCCTTACCAACACGCGCTGTCCCTTACCAACACGCGCTGTCCCTTACCACAACATGGGTCGGATTTTGAGCACTTGGGAAATAAGGAGTAGGGCCCCGCATGCGAATGTGGCCTGCTGCTGCAGCGCCACCTGCAGCAGCCGCTTGGCAAACGCTGCAATGCGCGGGAGGTTGACGTCTGCTTTCATTGACTTGAACACCAACGCCATAAACATGGGACCCTGATATCCGGTGGAAAGGGGTGGACAGAGGTGGAGGGAGGTGGAGGGAGGTGGAGGGAGGTGGAGGGAGGTAAGAAGTGAGGGGTCATTGGAACAAGGGAGGGAGGGCAGAGGGAGGGGATGCTTGGCGAACGCTGCTATGCGCGGCAGGTTGATGTCTGCTTTCATTGACTTGAACACCAGCGCCATAAACATGGGACCCTGTTGGGGGATGCGGGGATGGGAGGGAGACGGGCGGTTGCGGGGAAAAGAGGAGGGGGATCATTTAACTGGTTGGGAGAGTCAGGTTGACAGAGGTGATAGACCCAACCCTGAGCTGCAACCCTGGCCCCAGGCCTCATCACCCACCTTAGCAGACTAGCCCCTGAGCCTCAAGGACACTCCCACCCCTGAATCTAAACCTGAGCCCCAAGCTTTGCCTCCAAAAGGGTTCCAAACCCTGGGCCCCAAGCCTCATCACCCACCTTGGAAGACTTGGCGAGAGCAGGTGAGAAGAGCACAGAGTAGAGTGCGCGGTAATAGCGGGAGCTGAGAGCAGCGCTCTTGCCCATGAGCTGGAACAGCAGCAGCAGCGCCTGCACGCCCAGATTGAAGCTGGCCGCATGCACCATGCGGAAGAGGAGGGGTGTGTGCGTTTCAATGACCTCTGTAACATCATCCTCTGCCACGTAGCGGAATGCACGGTTCACACCTGCCATTGGGATGGGAAGGGATAAGGAAGGAGATGAGAGCAACTCTATCACCTCTGGTAACTCAGCGACGTATGGAAATGCACAATTCACACCTGTGAGAGGGGGACAGGCCAAGCGGAGGGGAAGAGTCGCCTAAAAAAACATGCTTGATTTTAACAACTGCGTTACTGCTATACCTGTCAAAAGAGCTGACAGCAAAGCACTATCCGCCTCCAGCTCATGCCCCTCCACCCCTCCCACTCCTTCCTGGCGCTGCTGCAGGTGGTGCTGCCTAAAAGAACATACTCGATATAACATACCTGTCAAAAGAGCTGACAATAACGCGCTATCCGCCTCCAACTCATGCCCCCTCCACCCCGCCCACTCCTGGTGCTGCTGCCAACTTCTAATTCACCAAAAAAACATACTCGATAATAACACCCTCATCATTAGCAACGCACCTGTCAAAAGAGCCGACAGCAATGCACTATCTGCTTCCAACTCATGCCCCTCCACCCCTCCCACTCCCGGCGCCGCTGCTGCCGACACAAACCGGTCCTTCCCTTTCCTTCCCCCTCCTCTCCCCCCTCCTCCTCTCCCTCCCCTCCCTCCTCTCCCTCCTCTTCCCCCCCGCTCTCCTCCCCGTCCCCCTCTTTTTCCACCCCTCCCTCTCCCTCTCCCTCCACCCCTCCCTTCTCCTCCTCTCCCCTCCCACCGCCCCTTCCCGTCCCCGTCCCCATCCCCTCCCGCACCCATCGTCACCACTTTGAACAGAGCGAAGTAGAGGTCAATGAGCTGTCTGGCGAGCATGGGGCCCAGCCCCTTGTGCGACAGGGTGATGTGGTTCAGAAAGACTGCCGCGTAGTGCCGCGCGCGCGTGCTGATGTTGGGGCGGAAGACAAATGCTTCCACGTGTTTCACCACCACGGGGGCCATGTTGGGGTGGGCGTCTAGCAGACAGCCCAGCAGGTAGCTGGCCTTGGAGGCCACTTTTCGACTCGGGTCTCCCAGCTGGATTGGGGATTAAGGGGCGGAAAGGAAAGGGGGGAGGTGGGAAAGTAGGGGGGAGTGAGAATGAATGCCTGGCCGTGTTTCACCACCACGGGGGCCATGTTGGGGTGAGCGTCTAGCAGACAGCCCAGCAGGTAGCTCGGCTTGAAAGGGACCTTCCGACTCGAGTTCTCGAGCTGGAGCAACATGGGGAAGGGGGAAGCAAGAACAGGGAAGGCTAGTTTTGAGGCGCCTCAAAACTCGGGTTCTCGAGCTGGAGCAACATGAACAAGAACAGGGGGAAGCAAGAACAGGGAGCGGGGACAGGGGAAGCGGGACACGGGAGGAGGAAAAGGGGACGGGTGGGAGGAGGGGGAAGAAGGGGGAGCTGGGGATGCGGAACATCTTGCAATATCTGCCTTTCCCCCATCCCTCCCCCCGCTAAGCCACTCACGTTATTCACCAGTGCCTGCAGCACCCGTCTCTCTCCCTCCGCTTTAGACGACAGCAGAGCGTGCAGAATGCGAAGCACCTTGTCTCTACTCGCCCTCCCTTCCCCCTCCCCCATCGCTCACCTTGTTCACCAGTGCCTGCAAAACCCGTCTCTCCCCTTCCGCTTTGGACGACAGCAGGGCATGCAGAATGCGAAGCACCTGCATATATACAGTAGGGGTATATATGCAGTGCAGCGCCTCTCCTCGCCCTACTAACCGCTCGCTCACCTTGTTCACCAGCGCCTGCAGCACCCGTCTCTCCCCCTCCGCTTTGGACGACAGCAGGGCATGCAGAATCCGAAGCACCTTGTCGCGCACAAACTCGACCACGTCCTTTCCGCCCTCCTCCAACCCCTCCAAAAACCGCTCGAACCGCTCCTTCAAGCACTCCTCGTATCGCCACAGCCGCAGCAGCCTCCTGCCCGCATCTCCCCCCGCTACAGTCACCTTCCCTCCTGCTTTTCCCTCGCCCTTTGACTGCTGCGAGGCAGCTTGTAGCGAAGCGGCTTGTAGCGGGGATGCTTTTAGCGGGGACAGGAGAAGCAGCGGCTGCTGGTGCAGCCAGCGCAGCTTGCGCGAGTCAGGGAGCAGCGAGGAGGTGAAAAGCTCGCTGAGCGCGTCCATGGCGCCTAAGGCGTGGCGCTTGGTGGCCTTGTTCAACACCATGGCTGCGTGGGCGGGGTGGGGGGGAAGAGGGAGGAGGGGGGAAAGGGGAAGGAAGAGGAGCAGCGAGGAGGTGAAAAGCTCGCTGAGCGCGTCCATGGCGCCTACGGCGTGGCGCTTGGTGGCCTTGTTCAACACCATGGCTGCGTGGAAGGGGGGAAGGCGGGGGAGTGGGGTTAAGCGGGGGATAGGAAGTGCATCTTACCCTAAAAGCGCGCACTTTTCAATGTCTCTTACCCAGTAACGCGTCCAGGTTGGAGAGATTCGCTACAGGGTCGTCCTGTATAACCACAGTCAGCGCAGCCACACGATCCGCGGCCGTTCCAGATCGACGGACGGCAGCGAGCCACCTGGCATCGCTGCTGCTCTCCTTGCGCCGCTCATACGCTTCCGCCGCCTCCTTCAGAAGCGCGTCCCCTTCCCCCCGTAGCTTCTCTGCCAGCGCCATCCACTCCGCCTCTGACAGCCCCCCGCGCGGGTCTTCCGCCTGCCCCCCTCCGCCCGCCCCTGCGCCTTCCCCCGAGCCCCCCTCCGCGCCAGTGGCAGCGCCAGTTTCCCCGCCAGCTATCGGGGGAAGTTCCGCGGATGCATCTGCGCCATTTCCTGCGCTTTCCGCCTCTCTGGATTTTCGGCGAGCCTTCTTGGCGAGGGATTTTTTGGACGGGGTTTTAGCCGGGGATTGCGGAGGTTTAAGGGGGTTGCTCGACGGAGTATCTTTTGACGCGGAAACTAATAACGAATCTTCGATGCTGCTGGCCTGTTCATACCACACTTTAGGTAAACGATCCATTGTGATGGAAACGAGGGATTGATTGTAGCTGCAACGTGACTACAGCGAGAGAGGTTTACAGCTGTGAGATTTCCCGGCTCGGCATAGTGAGCCTTAAAGGATACCTCGGACGAAACGCGCTCGCAGCTGCGGGAGAGTGGATTACCAGATTGGCGCGATTTTATGGCGCTCTTTTCTTGCCCCTAAGTCGGGTCTCGGTGGGGAGGCTTTGGGTTGACAGTAGCGCGAATTATTTCAGGAACACCTAGGGGTTATCCTCTCCTCGATACAATCAATTCCAGCATGCTTGCGGTCAGAGCATTGAACACCCGTTATTCTCGTTCTAAACTTCGTTAAAACTCGACCCCTGCAATTTGGGTTGTGAACCCCAGAAAGCACCCCAAATATCTTTGCCAGACGTTAGTTTGACTGCGGTGTGTCCTGTTATAAAGCGGTCACTTGGATCTTTAGAATGGTTGGGTAGGGTAGTGAGCGGCAACGAATTTGTCAAACGCATCATGGGACGACGAGAGCCACTCGATCTGTCCCACGTGGCGAGCCGCTCCCAGGGAGGCAATCCCGAGGGGCTGGTCGATCCCCTAAGATCGGGAGAGAACTGCTCCAAACCCTTGTTTGGAGATTCAGCGTTGCCCACGTGGCTACCATTTGCTCGCGTGGTTCTCAAATTCAGTGATAATTGCTCGAGTGGCCTTGCCAGGGGATTCCCACTGGCTTTTTTTAACCCGTCACATTACCCTACACGGGTTTCTATCCCCGAAACTTCTGTACTGGTTACTGCGCGATCTTCAGTATCCAAAATCTATGTTCGTGACCCTATATGACCGCGCCTGATTGGACGCGCAATTCAAAAAAAGGCACCGCGCATATAATTGACCAATCATGCGCGGTCATTAAGGGCATCATATAACTGCGGAAATATATGATCGGGCATTAAAATATGATGCGCGCGACCATTAATGGCCGCGCAGGATTGGTCGATTATATGAGCGCCCAATCAGGCGCGGTCATATAGGGTCACGAACATAAATTTCGGATATAAAAGATCGCGCAATAACCAATACAGAAGTTTCGAGGATAGATACCCCTGAAGGGTAATGTTCATTCTTAAAAAAAGACGTTGAGAATCCCATGGCGAGGCCACTCGAGCAATTATCACTGAATTTGAGAACCACTCGAGCAAATGGTGGCCACGTTTGCAACAACGAATCCCCAAACAAGGGTTTGGAGCAAATCTCTCTAAGATCGGACAGATGCCTCAGCCAGAAATCACACCAATCAGTTTTCCAAGCTTCCTAGAAGCTCTTAGCGCACTTACACTCCGGTTTATTGCGTAATCAGAAACGTAGTTGTCTCTAAGTTGCATTCGCAGGTCAAATTCACGCGCTCATTCCGGATCCAATCAGCAGCCGCCATGTGGTTCGCGGAGACGCCCAGCAAGCGATGGGCCGAGAAGTTCTTTCTTTACTATTCCCCCGTTTGGATCACATGGGCTCTCGGAATCATCGTCCCGTTTCAGCTCTATAAGGTACCTAGATTTCTCGCTGTAACGATTCATTAGGGAACGTCCGGCTCAACGCACTAGCCGTCTGAGTCGCATGGGCTCTTGGGGCAGCTATCGCTCGCCATTCCCTCGTCCCGTG